TTCTTTTTAAAGTGTAGCAGTAGTTTTGTGCATTTAGTTCTCCTTCTCGTGAAGAAGTATAAACAAATACACAAAAGTTCCCTGCTGATTCTGCAAGGAAAGCAGCATTATCAATGAGTAGGGTGGTTTTGTACCTGGCTAAAGCAGTCCTTGCATACTGGATCATGGGAGAAAATATTCTGTCCTTCTAGACACTGTCATATAGACTTATCCAGAGTCTTAATTGTTATTTTGTTTTTAATGAAGAGTCTTAGCAATAATTAAGGTGCAACAACCAAACTAGAATTTTTTGCATCTTGACATGTAAAATTTCAGGGTTTAATTGGGAGCTGCACTAGATGATCTCCAGAGGTCCCCTCTGACCTGTGATTCTGTGAACTGCTCATTATTTGGCTGTGCTGTGCAGGTTCCTTCAGGCAGCACAGCTGCTGGGAGTCTGGTGTATCTAGGTGCAGCACATTGCAAGATGTGCTGCTAATGGAAGAGTGGATTGCTGAAACAAGCTGTAGCCATGAAAAGTGCAAAAGGACCATGTTAACACTACTGAAATGTATGCCTCTGCCCCTAAGAAAGACGTTGGAGTCCTGTTCTTTGCAGAAGGTAGATTCATGCACTGCAAACTACTAGAGACACTGAGAAGATAGAACACTGATTTTTGCCATCTACTTTTGCAATATACTTTAATACTTTGGTTATTGTTTTTTTGGGTTTTTGGGTTTTTTTTCAGTATATTGTTAGATGATGTTGAGAATTAGTAGTTCTAGTGATGAGCTTAAAATGGCATTTCTGGTATTGTTTCAAATTTTGGCAATTCCTTATAATAAATGAAGACATTTGTTTTATATGTCTCTGTTTAGCCAGCTACTACTCTTCAGACCAGCCACACTGAAGATGCAGAAATGAAAGATGAGCAGAATGGAGTTGAAGATAAATAAGTTGACACAGAAGCTTAAAGAAACCAGATTCCATTAGTTTTGTAAATGAAAGAATTTCCAGTGAATTAGACCTTTATTTTTCTACCTGGTTGGACAGTGGCTTCAGAGGAGCAGAGGCTGAGCCGCCATGCCACAGTCAAGAACAGCTCTGTATGTCTGTGAAATAAGCTGAGTGGCAGCACAAATCTGATTTAATCTAGGGACTTTATTTATTCATACAGCTTCTGTTACTGTTTGGGTTCTGTCTGGATTTACTCTGCTTGGTTTATCTGCATTTTGCCTTTAGTGTTTGTGTCTCTCTTGTTCCAGCTCACTTAAATATAGGAAACAATCTGGGATTAATTTCCTTGATTTCATTTTTTTTTTTTTTTTTAAGCAGTTGGCCTTTTTCAACAGTCCTCATGTGAGATTTGAGAACAAATCAGTGCTCAATGTTCTACTGCCTTGGCATTGTCCCCTTTCCCTTCTTCCATTAAGTGTTGTAACCTTTATATGCTTCCTTTTTGCGTATTGCTGAAAGTGAAGACTGTGAAGTCACAGCTTAAGTAATAAAGCTCCAATTAAGCTCAAGGAAATTGAACTTTTTGTATTTTTTATTGGCATTTGCAAAGAATTATGAGTCTGTCTTGTCATTCAGTGTTTTCTTATCCACATAGTGTTACTGTAACCACAATATCTACTTTTTTTCTGGTAATGTTGATTCATTGCCATTTAAAAGAGTGTACGCAATTGATCGATCTATTTGCAAATGAAGAAAATGTTGCTTAAAACTGTACACGAGTCTGTAACCTGTTAGTTATTATCTGTTAGTATTTCTCTTTCCCCTTTGTGTTGTGAAACTGGAGCAGAAGAGTACTGATTGATACCTGAAAGTAACTGGCTTTGAAGATAAAATAAGTGCTAATAGTAAAACACCTTGAAAGTGCTTATAATTCCTAATGAAATGCTAATGTCTGAATGATTTCAGTCTTTATTATCCTTACCTCACAAGAAAACTACTTAATATTCTCCTACTTTTTTTCTGTGGTGTTTCTTGTGTTGGCTTGGAGAATGCTGTGTGTAGAGGGGAAGTGTTATGCTTGTATTTCTCTCTATAGGTATGAGGTAGAATATTCACACATATCCATGCTCTTCATGCTGTTCTGTAGTGTTAAACTCAGCATCTCAACTGTCCTTTCCTGAAACTTTCTAGCAGCAGGGACAAATTTATTGCTTTTCAAAAGGAACATAGTTTTATCTGTTTCAGAGGAGAGAGATATTGGGCCATGGAGATGTATGTCTAAACTGTCACCAAAGTGGTAAGTCCTGCATGACATGCTTTCCTTACCCCAGGCCCAAGATGGTAAGTCCAGCCAGTTGCTGGGTTGGAGGTAGCTTATGGATCTGTGAACTGCGCTGCTTTCTGCGAGATTAGCAGTGCCCTAAGGGCCTTCAGGTTGGGAAGGGGTAGAGGAAAAGGCAATATAGTCTCTGTTAGGTTATTACAGGAAAGAAAATGCTGTAACTTTGAAGGACCAGTTTCATTTGCTTAAATATCAACAGTTAGTGCAGGTGCTTTTCATAAGTTTTGGTTAAGTATTATCAGTCCTATATATTGGAAAGCTGTTTTACATTGTACTTGAGCACAAATAACTCTAAATGGAACATTTAATATGGCTCAAGTGAGGAAAATTCTACTGGTGAAACACTAATAGTTGTCCATCCTTTTAGCTTGGTCTGGGCTGCATTGAGCAAACAGGAATTGCCATGGGTTGCATACTAATTGTATGAATTCAGTGTATTTAACAACCAATTTTGGAATGCATTTTTATTAAAACATAAAAAAAGACAACAAAAGCATAAGGCTGCTGGGATATTTGCCCTTGTTTTTGTTAAACTAATGCACTAATCAGGCTGGTTCATTGGGCCTAGTGAGTTTTCCAAGTGTTCATCGGAGATTTTTGATGAAATGCTACTCTTCCTGTATTTCATCCTTGACAATAAATGTATGTACTGCCACAAATGATGAATAAGGTATAATTGTGAAGCAAAGGATTTCTTTGGTAAGTGAGGGCTTATGACAGTTTAGTAAAGAGACTAAATTTTTTTTTTTTTTAGTTGAATGCCTGATTACAACTCTATACATTCCTTGTGAAAATTTACAAGTACTGTGTTTGTCGGCTGAAAATGGAGTTGCAAATGTACGAAAAAGTGATTTATTTTTTTTTTTTTCTTTTTTCAAGTCATGAAACCTATTTTCAGATTCCTTTATTAAAACAACACTTTTGCTGTTCACAGGACTGTGCTTAGCATATAAAAATGCATGAGATTATTTGCCATAATTTGAATTTGCCATAATTTGATTTCCATCACTGTCGTTGTCTGAAATACAGCAAGGGTACGGTGATTTTCACCTTGAAGATGCATGATTTAATGGATCAGATAGAAAATTACGTACTGTATACTTGCTTTGATTGGAAGCAGAGGTGTGCATTCCCTTTTAATTCATTTGAATATGAAATAAAGCTATCAGTTAATACACATAGACCTGATCATTTCCCAAGTGAATGGAGGGATTGGGAGAATACATAAGTGGTGGACTGAGAATTAAGATCGACCTAGTGAGGGATGTGGAACACAAGTCTTAGGAGGAGCACCTGAGGGAACTGAGATTGCTTAGTCTGGAGAAGAGTTTCTGGGGAGACCTGTACAACAGCCTGAAAAAAAGGAGGTTGTGATGAGGTGGAGGTTGGCCTCTTCTCCCACATAGCTAGTGATAGGACTAAAGGGAACAGCTCGAAAATGCGCTGGGGAAGGTTCAGGTTGGGTATTAGGAAAAATTTATTCTCTAGAAGATCGGTCAGGAACTGGATTGGGCTGTTTTGGGAGGTTGTGGAGTCACCACCTCTGGAGATGTTAGAGTATTTAGAGAGATGCTTCAGTGCAGTAATATTGGTAGGTGGACGGTTGGACTAAGTGATCTTGAAGTTCTTTTCCAACCTCAGTGATTGTATGATTCGATATTTAGCTCATTTAAATGAACTGTCAAATCCACCAAAATACTAAATATATGGAGATTAAAAATGGCTCACAATCCAGAACAAATTCTCCTTTTGATTCCAGGAAGTGTTTTTTAGCATTTTACCTTGAATCACCTTAAATGATGACCCCATAATCAGTATCCATACTTTTGAGGAACTGCTAGAACTGGTGATGATTCAGGCTCTTGAGCTTTATGATATTCGTGGCTTTTATGATTTGCATGACAACCATTTTTAAAGCTTTTACACACACATTTTCTTGATGCCTGATGCAGTGACATGTTATCAAAGGTGAGTTAGAGGTAATTGCATCATTATCTATGAATCTTGCAAGTCCCTCCTTTTTACCAACAACAGCTGGGGCACCATCAGTAGCTGTATCAGGTATGTTGACAAAGGTTAAAGAAAACTTCTTTAACTTTTTTCTACTGCTTCATAAAAGATTGTATTGACTGGTAAATTACACTTATCTGTCTCTCTGAATGTATAAGACTTTCATCCCACGCTGTTTTCTTACAGTATCTTTAAGGTATGGTTTACTATCGTAAGTAAAAATGTAAATGAGTGATGTAATTCAGCCTACAACGTAAGGGAGCGAAAACCACTCCAGGCAGTCAATGGCATACTTTCCCACTGAGCTGGAGCAAGAATCTCAAACCTGGTCTACATAACAGTAGGGCTTTTCTCAAGTTTTTACGTTTTCTCACTGCGAAGGAGAGCTCGGTCGCGGAGCACGGAACTCCGCCTCGCGAGGTCGCAGCGTCGAGAAGAGCTCAGCCCCGCCCCGCCCCTTCTCAATGCTGACGTCATCACCCCTCGCTCGAACCCGCGGAGCCGCCATCGCCTTCCCGTCGTCCCAGGCTGGAGGCCGGCGGCGGAGCGAGTGGCGGTATGCGGTCTGTCAGCTACGTGCAGCGCGTGGCACTCGAGTTCTGTGGCAGCCTCTTTCCGCACGCCATCTGCCTGGGGGACGCCGACAACGACACGGTGCGACCGTGACGCGGTAGCGGCGGGATCTGTTCCAGGCTTTGAGCCGGCGGGTGGCGCAGGGCTGCGTGGCGGGCACACTTGGCGAGCCTAGCGTGACTACGCAGGGGGCTGCAGTGCGGGGCGGGCGGAGAAAGTCGCTCGTAAACGGGATGTTAGCGTCACTGGATTACAGCCAATCAATGTTTGCGTTACCATTGGACGTCGTAGGCACTACTTGCTGTGAAGCTCTTAGGGAAAGAAACTTTTGGTCCCAGGGAGAGACGTTGCTACCGTTGCACGACTGGAAGTGCAAAGCTGTGGAGTTTGTTGCCGTGCATTGGAGTACTAATGGAATAAAGTCGAGGATAACTGTCTCTTGATGTGTGTGTTGGATGGATGTGCATCAGCACTATTAGCGTCAGCTCCACAAATGGTTGTTCTTGGAATGTCTGATTTTGCTGTAATTAGGAAGAGATTAGCTTGAACACATATACGAAGACTGTCTCAATAGACAAATCTTCTTAAGCTATCCTGGAAAGTGTCATAGCTAGCCATGTGAACTGATGTTACACAGGGTAATGTGCTAGGGGAGTTATGTAAAAAAGTGAAGTAGAGACGTAATGCAGAGGATGGCATATGTGGGCTCATTAGCAGGAGATGGTGACTATTCAGCAGTCATCTTTCAAGAAAGCCAGTTTGTTTAGCCAGTTTGTTAGTGAGGCTGAAGATCCAGAGTAAATGTGTTGTGTTCTTGCAGATTTTTTCTAGACAATTACTTTCTCCACATCTTCCTCAGATGAATGAAGAAAGCCCAAGTCAGCTGTTTAGTCTGATTGTGTAAAATGAGGACTCTTTTTTTTTTTTTTTTCTTAGACCTTTTCTACTGTTTCAAGCTTTTAACTCTTGATTTGCTGATTCTTACCCATTTCAGATATGAGATCTGTAATTCACACTATGCTGGGAGTACTACGTTACTGCAATTGTGAGCTTCTTACTAACCTAATTCTCTTGTACAGCTGAACGAGTTAGTGGTAGGAGACACCAATGGGAAACTCTATGTGTACAAAAATGATGACAGCAAACCCTGGACAGTACGATCCTGCCAAGGAATGGTCAGTTCTTTACAAAGCTTTTAACTGATTGGGCCTTTTAATGTATGTACATATTATTGTCCTTGATCACTCTTAGGAACATGAAAGCTAGAGAGGAGTGGCAGTCAGAATGGCTTCTGATGCTTTTCATCTAGTGATGTAAGACCCGCTTGCTTACAGCAAGCCCTTTGGACTAGAAATTATGAGTGAAGAACTAAACAAACACAGTAATTCTGTTGGGGCTTCTCCCACCTTGAACCTATTCCTGTGCACTTTGAATTTTGGTCCAGAGCTCTGGACAGTTGTGTTGCTTATGTGTTTCTGTCCTGGGCAGTTCTTTTTGTCGTTAAAAAGGCTGTTCGAGTTCAAGAGACTACAGTCTCTTGAGGAGGAGAAGAGAGGGTATGGCAGGGGTTTATCTAAAAGTGCTTCTTTGGGTTGCCTTCTCTCATAGATGGACTCTTAAGGTCTTCTTTTCTCTTGCAGCTTACATGTGTTGGTGTGGGAGATGTATGCAATAAAGGAAAGGTGAGAGCATTCAAACTCCCCCCATCTTTGTCTGTAGGACAAATGGGAAGTGCTTAGGAGATTTAGCTCATGTCTGTCAAAGAGTGTGGACGAGAACAGATGGTAAGTGTTTTCTCTCCAGGATCTGACCTCATGCACAGAATTTTAATGCTTCTATTTTAAAATTGTTTTTGGGTTTATATGTAACCTGAATCTCATCTGTCTGTGAACACCATACAAGTCTTAGTGAGCAAAGTGATCTTATCTTTAGGAAGCTTTACTGATAAGCACATCCTTCTGTGTGAATGCCATGAGGCTCCAGGGGTTTAAGGATTACTCCCTTTCCTTGTTGGCTGTTATCCAGCTGTCCTGAGCCCTATTGCAGGTCATGGCTCTTCTGCTGCTTGACTATATGTGTTTCAGGTCACCTAAACAAGACAGACATAGAATAGTTTCAACTTCCAAGCAAATTCTAGTGGGTGTAGTGTGACTTCTTCTGGGGGCTTGCTATTTTTAAGAATTAAACAAATGACTAGGAGGTCAAAAATTCCACTTTAGGCATCCTGCCTAAAATATTGTGCTCCATAGGAGAGCAGAGCTGAAGTGAGGTTAGAGTAAGCCATGTATTGGAAATTGCATGCAGACATCAGCTTGATATCCTGTTCTGAAAATGATGAGCCTTTTGGACCGTTTGGACCCTTCAGGACCTGAGTGGTTTGTGAGTTTGTGATTTTTGTTATTGGTATTCCACATCATAATGTCATGTAAAGCAGTAGCAGTTAAAGAATTACTGTCCTGGTTCTGGGGACTGCCTTTTTTGGGCATTTTGGTTCTTGGAGAGGAGCAGCATTCCCCAGAGGAGTTCAGGCCCAGAGGAAGACAGGAGGAGCTCGTGGCTCACTTTCCTGGTCCAGGTGGCTGACAAGCATGTGGTCCCCGGCTGCTTTTGCCTGCCGTGATATCACAGAATCGCAGAGTGGCCTGGGTTGGAAAGGACTTCAAGGGTCATGAATCTCCAACCCCCCCTGCCACAGGTACAGCCACCAATCTCCCCATTTAACACTAGACCAGGCTGCCCAGGGCCCCATCCAACCTGGCTTTGAACATCTCCAGGGACAGGGTATCCAGAACCTTTCTGGGCAGCCTGTTCCAGCACCTCACCACTCATAATAAAGAACTTTCCCCTGACATCCAACCTACATTTTCCCTCTTTCAACTTAAAAACCATTTCCCCTTGTCCTGTTATTATCTACCGTTTCAAAGAGTTGACTCCCCTCCTGTTTAGGCTCCCTTTAGGTACTGGAATTCTGCAATGAGATCACCTCCCAGCCTTCTTTTCTCCATACTGAACAAGCCCAGCTCCCTCAGCCTTTGCAGGGGAGGTGCTCCAGTCCTCTGAACATCTTTGTGGCCCTCCTCTGGACTCTCTCCAACAGTTCTGTCTTTCTTGTACTGGGAGCTCCAGACCTGGACACAGTACTCCAGATGAGGCCTCACAAGGGCAGAGTAGAGAGGGACAATCACCTCTCTATCCCTGCTGGCCACCCCTCTCCTGATGGAGCCCAGGATGCCATTTGCTTTCTGAGCTGCAAGAGCACACTGCTGGATCATGTTCAGTTTTTCATCCACCAGGACCCCCCAGGTCCTTCTCTACAGGGCTACTCTCAAAGTTTGCTCCTTTTGGTCTGTATAAATGCCTGGGATTTCTCCGGCCCGAGTGCAGAACTTTGCAGTTTGTTGTGTTGAACCTCATTAGATTCACCCAGGCCCACCTTCTGAGTTTGTTGAGGTCCCTCTGAATGGCATCCCTTCCTTCCACCATGTCAACTGCACCACTCAGCTTGGTGTCATCAGAAAGCTTGCTGCACTCAATTCCACCATCTATGTCACTGATAATTATGTTAAAGAGCACTGGTCCCAAGACAGACCCCTGAGGGACACCACTCATTACTGGCTTCTAGTTTTGGACACTGTTTCTCTCATTTTCTCTCATTTTGTTTGATTTTGTTGGATGTAGTAAATTAATATTCCTCCTCAGATTGTTGCTGTTGCTCTGTTTTGGTTTTTTTTTTTAGACCCATCTACTATTTCCCTCCCCCCACTTTTCTCTCTCTCCTGAGGTGCTGGCCCGCATGTGCCATGCCTCATTAGTCACAGGGCTGGGCCAGACTAGCTGTAAACAGTTAATACTTTTTTTTCCTACCTCTCTCTTTTTGTTTTGTTTTGTTTTTGTTTTTGGGACTGTGACCCCTGTCACAGACACAGATCTGGAGATACCTCTGTGACAACTGGCCAGAAATAGCCTCTTTTTCCCTTGTAGCAGTCATTGATCTTCCCTTGCCCTGCTACAATTTCTAAAAGAAAAAAGTAATACGAAGACTGTTCTCTTTTTCTCTTAGAATCTTGTAGTGGCAGTGAGTGCAGAAGGTTGGTTTCATCTTTTTGATCTGACTTCCCCTTCAAAACACCCAGATGCTTCAGGCCACCATGAACTAGCAGAAGAGCAGAAGCTAGTGTTCAAGCAACATATTCCTGCCAACACCAAAGTCATGCTAATCAGTGACATAGGTGAGTGGGACAACAAGGATGGGAGTTCAGGGTGAGGGGATTTGGGGGCAAGAAGTGGTGATGGGGAGACAGAAAGTGTATGAGCATGTAGAAGAAAATGACTACCTAGCTGAAACAGTTGCTTTAACAAGACTGTCCAGTCCTTGAGGAGAAGAGCAAGAATTTACAAAAAAATTCCAAAGTGTGAGTTCTTGTAATAGGGTTGGGATCCTCAAGGATGATGCTTAATGGATGTTGGGGTTTTTGCAGTTATGAAGGCCTAAGAGAGCCCTTCTGTCTCCTGGTTTCCCTGCAGATGGAGATGGGAAGTGTGAGCTGGTGGTAGGTTACACTGATAGAGTGGTGCGTGCCTTCCGCTGGGAGGACTTGTCGGAGAATTCAGACCATCTCTGTGGGCAGCTGATCCTGCTGAAGAAATGGTTGCTGGAAGGTCAGGTAAGGATATGGGAAGAGGCACGAGTTCTCAGTTCTATCTACAAAGTAATTGTCATCTTGATGGCTTGAAAGGAGATTTGCCTAGCAGTTGCCCTGTGCACGCAGGGACGCTGGTGTGATGTTCATTAGCTTCTCTGACTTGACTAGAGAATGTTTTCCACTAAGGGTGTTCCTAAGTGGCTTTTGCTAGGTGAAGATCCGTTTTACTTGTATATTTTGCCTGTAGCTGGCTTTGTTCAGTTTATGCTCAGCTTCTATGAAAAAATCTGCTGTAGTCAGATTTAGGTGCAAGTTGCACAGTGGAAACTTCTAGGTTATGTAAGGTTTTCAGTTCAACTCTATCTTTGTTTATCCTGTGTCAGTACAGGTGGATAGCCTTTCTGTGAACCCAGGCCCTGATGGCTTACCAGAGATGATGGTGTCCCAGCCAGGCTGCGGTTATGCCATTCTGCTGTGCACCTGGGACTCCGAGCAGCAACCCATGATTGAGGGAAGAGACAGCTCTTCCCCTAGCAGGTGAACAGTGATTGCGTGGAGTAGATGAGGAGATTCTACTGTAGATGCCTGTCACAAGAGGGCACCACGACCACTGCCTTTCTGAGGGATAATGCTGTCATCCTAGTGAAGCCAGTATCTGCAATGAACTACCTGCTGGGAGTTCATGACTTAAGCTTGTTGACACCCAAGTGCCCATGAATTCAGGTCTCTATGCTAGAGAAGAATATTGTTTTTGTTGTGTCCTGCTCTTCTTCTCGAGTTGGCCAAGGAGTGAGTGACCTAGATCTCTATAAGGAGAAGGAGTCAGGGGAGCTGTCTAAATGTGGGACGGGTGGCATCTGTAAGGCTGAGCCAAGGCCAATTAATCTGAAGCCCAGGAAAGACACTACTGGTTTCCTCCAGATAGGGCAGGATTTCCTAATAAGAACCTGGCAGCCAGTGCTGTAAATTACAAGCAGAGAAATCAAGATGGGCAGTGAGGTTATTTTCCCTGTCCCTAGAGGCACCACTGTGAGAAAATCAGGCATTCCTATGCTGTTCTTTGGGACAGTAAGGCAGACCCAGAAAATGTGCAGGATGGAAGCTGGGCAAGTCTTGGTGTCTTAGAGACCTTAATGAAATGTAAGTATCTTCCTGGACAGAACTCAGGCCCAGACATGATCTCTGACTCACTTGGACAACCATAGACAGAAAGTTTTCCTGAATGAATAGCATTCAGGCACATGTGACAGAAAATAACTTTAAAAAAAAATAAACAAACACCAATCTCCTTGTTCAGAATAGATGTTTTATTGACCTACTTGAGTTCTTTCCACTTTTCTGATGCTACAAATCACTAGGTCTTGTTTTTTAATCATTACCAAATTTCTATCATTCCTGAGATGGTGTGCTTTCTTTTCATTGCTTTTTGTCAGCAAATAATCCTTTTACTGGTGATTGAGATGTCCCCTGCTTAGAGCAATCTGTCATTTTTTGCTTTGGGAATAGCATATTGTTCTTGAGTATTTCATTAAGGGCCTGCGCACAGACTCTGTCCATCTGTAGACTTGGAGAGTTCTGGAGTATTCTGCTCTTCAGATTGTCCTGACACAGGACCAGGCATGATCTCATAACCTTTCCTGATGCCTGCCTCTTTTCTCTCTAGAGAGGCCCCTGTTCGAGATGTTATTCTCCACCAAACATCTGGTCGGATTCACAATAAGAATGTTTCCACTCATCTGATTGGTAGTATTGGCCAAGGTGAGAAATTAAGAGCTTGCGGCCTCTGCCTCAACAGTTGCCTGTGATATTTTTTCAATGTCAGTCCAGTGTGAAATTAGATTTCCAGAGGCTGAAAATTAAAAACTTCAGGAGTTATATGCTAGAACAGAAGGATTTCATCTCCTGTTGGTCTGCCTCCAAAGAACAGCTAAACGTTTGTTTTTGAACTTTTTACAGACTTTAGACCTTCCCTTGTTATTCATCACCCAGCACAAGTTTCCCTGCATCCTCTGCTTGCTAACATTTACTTATCTTGAACGTCTATGAAGCCCTTCTCCTGCAGATATACTAGATCCTTCCTTTTGCATGACTGCAGCTTCTGCCCTCTTCTTAATTACCTAGATGCATCTCTTCCTTTCCACAGCATCATTTTTAATTTCTTGCATTTGAGCACTTGATTCCTCTAACAGCTATATCCTGCCTTCTTTTGCCTGTGGATCCCAACCCCTCCAAAGCTGCTTCCACATTTCATTTTTATTGCTGTCCTTTGTCTCCTTTCAGTTTATACTGTTCAACTGTTATCTATAGCTGCTGGCTTCTCTCAGCCCTAACCTACTGCTTTTGTATCCAAGCATTTCTTACGTGCTGCCAGTGCTTCCCCCATGAAACTGGCTGAATATGCTGAATGCTGTACATACAGAGCATGCAAGTTTCACACTCCCTTATTTATATGCTCCATAGCGCAAGGAAGAAGAAGATTCAAAGCAACCCATGCTTTTTCCCTCCATGTCTGCAACTGGCTGGAATTGATGTGCATTTGAATTATCATCTGCAGTGCTGTCTGCGGAGGAATTAGGCTGTGTAGTGTGATTAGAGTTGAGGGAGAAGGACAACTGACCAAACGCTCCCCCCATCCCTTTCCCTGCTCCGCAAAGTACAGCTCCTACCCAGTTGCTAAGCTTGTCATATTTTCAGCATTTCAGCTGCTGTGAGTACCATGATCACTGGAGCATGAAATCACTTATTTCACTGCATACAAAACCTGCTGAATAAGGGATGAGAAGTTTGTAAAAAGCCCCTTGGTGCTGGAACAGCAGTAGTGAGACAGCTAAAGTATGTCATGCTGATCAGTTTGTAGAGGACACAGCAGATCATTTAGAACAGAGTGCGTCTAGATGAATGTCAGCTACAGGCAGTATAGCACCCAACCAGCTAACTGTTTGCTATAAATGATCCTATAGAAATAGGGTACTCTGTGTTCTGGAGTGTTGTAGCCTGGAGCTGTGCATGGTGGCGAAAGTAGGCTTGCAGTACAGTGTCATTTTGGGAAAGCTGTCTGGGAAGACCATGAAAGTCCTTTCAGTTCTGCTGTCTTGCCACTGATTGCCACGTTTCCTGGGTTGCTGCAGACCTCAAGGAGACTGTGCCTCCTTCAACATTGTCAGTGCAAACACAAAATGCAGCTGTAGTTGAAAACAGCTCTAGCCTTCTGCCACCAAGTGTGATATCACTTCCAAAACTTTTATCTTGCATGTCTCTTCTGACTAGTGGACAGGTAAAGAGTTTACTGAAGTGGTGGTCAGGAAAGTCATGTCTTTGGGTTTAGCTAGTCCTGTGCACAATTATGTGATACGCAGGCTTTGGAGAGGAACTGTTTGTTTGCAGGAAGTTCACAGCTGTGGGAACTAATAAAGCCAGGGCTGGGTGCACGAGCATTGAGACAGATGTCTAATCTACCCTCAAAGCAAGAGCTCTGTAGCATCTGAGCAGCGTTTGCTGAGTGGGAACCTCAGTTTCTGTTCAGTTTTCATCTAGTGGAAATAATAATATTGGTAGCATGATCTCGGCAGACTCATTCAGGAGCTGACATGAAGGTGCTTTTGTGCCGCTTTGGCTGAAATGTAGTCCTTCTAGTGGGATCTGCTTTTTCTTCTTGTTTCTTGAACAACTGAAGGCAACATTCCTATCCCTGAGGGAAGCAGTGAGGGTATAGTTTTGATATTCATTTAGCTTAGGCTATTATCCACATTGTCCCTTTGTGATTATTGTGCCTGTGTTTGTGCATTTTTGGAGCGTAAAGAGGGTTTGATGATGTTAACTGCAACCAGAACTGCTGAAGGTCTGCATACATTTGGCATAAACAAATTCCTGGAAGCAGTCAGCAGAGCCAGACATGCCCATATCAATGCAAACTAAAGATGCTGGATTCTTGGGTTTACACTGACAGTTGTGCTCTACTAATAAAAGCTGGCATGAGGTAGGATTGGTTGCAAGACTGCAGATACTTGTTACGCAAAGTTGTAAGACTGGATGAAAAAGGAGGCAATATGGGTCAGCTTGTTGTTTTGCATCTTTTTTTTTTTCAGAAGAGGGAAGGAACAATGCTCATAAGTAGGTTTCAACTGTAATTCTCTTCTGCATTTACAGGGTACTCCAGTGTGGGTAATGGCTCGGGTCTCTTTGCCCTTTGTACGCTTGATGGTAAGTTCTGCCACTGTCCCGGAAGAAGGGCCTGTGAGAAAGCCCAAGGTTTGTCCTTAATTAAAAGTAGGGAACAAGTGTGCAGTGCTTTTGATTTTGAAACAAGAGGGAACTGGGCTTCAGAAATGTTTCCTGATGCACACAAAAGAATTTGACTAGCTTCTTCTTCTGATGTTTGTTTTCTTCTTTTTTCAGTGTCTTATTAGTATCTCCCTTTTTTGCTATTACAATCTCTTCATCTGTGGATTTCAAAGCATTTTACAAACATTTATTACTCATATGGCACCGTGGCCTATGGGGATAGAACTGTTAAAGCTTGGCCCAAAACGGAAAGCTTGAAACTAGAATTAGCATCTGCTTACTCCTAAGCTGCATGCTTACCCAATACTTAAACTACTGTTTGAGATGCCAATTTGGCAGTGCAGTGCATGTAAACAAGAGCCTGTAAACCATAGCAGAGATATGCCTTTGTATTTGAAGGGATTTGTGTTGTTTCTAAAAGTATTAAAGGAAATGGATGCTGAAACTCAAGTATTGTTAGTGAAGAGCTTGCCTCACACTGGCCTGGAGCCATATTTTTCTGCTCCATTGCAGACTGAGAAGTGATAGGACAGACTAATTAACTGAATGGAGGGATTCTGTTCAAAAAGCAGCTGTGTGGAGACAAGGTGCTGTGTGTCCCTGTTTCCAGGTAGGCAACTTGGCCTATATGGGCTAGATGTCCATCTGCTCTATGATGTTCTGCTAGGGAGTTTCTGATTCTTGTTTGGGCCTTAACTGTGAAGCTGCCTCAATGGGCAAGGCTTCCAGTCACACAATGATTCCTTCATGAGCCGTACTGAGATTGGAGGGCATAGTGAGGATAGGTTCATGTTTACGTTATATGACCTTCTGTCTCAGGTCTGCATCTCCCACTAGCCTCCATGGTATTTTCACAATACCTCTGGAAAATAGGAAAATGGTATGAGGTAAGTGTTTAGAATGATTTTAGCATCCAGGAGGCCACTTCTATACTACTAGCCAGTAACTTTTCAGCTGATACCAGTTCTCTTGAGATTGTATGATCCATGGGACATGATGAGAGGATTCTAGTTTACGTGGTCTCATGCGAGACATGTTGATGTATTGTATCCAGGAATCGTGTTTTGAACACTTTCTTCTTAGGGTGCAAGCCAATTAGTAGAGCTGCTGCCATTTCTTCCTGTTTCCTTTTACTTGGCTGAAAATGCAATCAACTACTATCCCTCCCAGAAATGAGATTCCTGTCAGCTACAGTCTGTACTATGCTCTTCCCTCCATTAGCAGACCATGAGGGCTGAAGAAGTACACAGGGCCGAATGTTAGCAGATATTTAATATTTAAGCCTTTTAATATTTTCAGGACAATCTTTTTTTTCCTCTTCAGGGACACTGAAACTCATGGAAGGGGCAGACAAGCTGCTCTGGTCTGTGCAGGTTGATCACCAGCTATTTGCGCTGGAAAAGCTGGATGTTACTGTGAGTACTATGTGAATAGGTCTGAGAGTGAAGGAGTGAAGACAAAAGTTCAACATAACTTTTCTATGTTTAAATTTTGGAAGGGCAGAGATAGTATTGCAGCAGCTGAGGCACGAACTTGGAATGATGCAAATTGTTTATTGCAGGTTCTAACATCCCTTGTATACATTCACAAGTTTTCTCTTTTAACTTTCCCACCACCTTTACATGTCAACAAAACATTCCACAAACACTCCTTAACTGCACACAGGCAGTTATCCAGTCAGAGCCATGAGTTGTCTCTGGTAACACGCTCTTCCTCCAATCAAGGCCATCATCACGAGGCCATCACACAGCTTACTTGACTTTGCTTTTTTCTTCTTCTGGAGATGTCCTTGGTTCTCAGTGTTGCTTTCTCTTGATGTTTATTTTGTACCACAGCTGCTGCTCTGAATAGTCTTTCTTGTATTCCCACAGAGTATGACTCAGCTGAAAAAATGCTGGGATTATTGCAGGATGATACACTGAAAGCTCTGACTGTGCCAGCACATTCTACACTCGTGTCAGTCTGCCTTCCTCCAAGAGTTTGAGTTGTGTCTGCCTATTTGACCTAGTGAGCACAGTGCCTTGCTATGAATTTTTCCATCCCTGAACTGCTCTTTTATCTCATTGCAAAATCGAAAAGTTTTGCAAATTGTCAATACTCCAAGTGATAGCCTATGGGCTCATAGGATACATAAGGATTGTAATAGAGAAGGAAGAGTTGATTTCCAAGTTAATGAGTGTTATCTTGTTCATTTAATAGTGCTCTACCTCTTGAATAAGCAGAAAGATTATTGACTGCCTCTGGGAGTAGCTGATGTCTGTGCTAATCCTATGGTTCCTGCAGGGCAATGGACGTGAGGAGGTAATTGCCTGTGCATGGGATGGCCAGACATATATCATCGACCACAATCGCACAGTTGCCAGATTTCAAGCAGATGAGAATGTCAGTGCATTCTGTGCAGGTGAGGATTTTGACTGCTAAGCCAGCCCTCACAACATTTCTCCATAAAAGTTACTGCTCTCCTCTGGGGAACCTGTGATCTTTTGTCTGTCTGCAGTGGGGAATAATTTTCCTGGGGTGTATATTCTGCAGGAAGAGGCACAGTTAGTCTTCCCACTGATGGAATCTGGGAAAAGCAGAATGAGTGGGGGTGATGCTGGGGTATGGGTGTGATTGGTTTAGTTTATTTTTGGTTTGTTTTTTTTTTTCCTTTCTGTTCTGTCCAATCTGAGAGTGCTATCAGTGTTTTCTTCTCCATTGCTTTTTAAATTTGCAGTCTTCTAAGCTGTTCTCACTTGAGATACAGACCGCCATGGAGCCAGCCTGAGTCTTGACTTTGCTAATTTGTTTCTCTTAGACTTGTAAAAAGCAGCTTGCAAATCCACAAGCTGCATACATTAAAGACAGTTTAGAGACAACTGAAATGTCTCAGAGGGGCTTAACATAGCCAAGTCCATCTCTGTTCTTTCCATGAAGGTGCTTACTGCTCTCTGCTAACGTCTTTGTTGTCTCATCCTGAGAAGTTACCTATTTGCCTTCTCTGTATTTTGAGAAGTAGACAAATTTTCCATATTTCTGTTCTTTGTAGGCCTATATGCATGCAAACAAGGAAGCAACAGTCCCTGCCTGGTTTATGTCAGCTTCAATCAGAAGATCTACATCTACTGGGATGTGCAGCTGGAGAGAATGGAGTCCACCAACCTTTTAAAAATCCTGGAGAATGACCCAGAGTTTGACAGTCTACTGCAGGAGCTGGGTGTAGGTGAGTGCACAGAATGAGGGATGTACAAGAAAAAAGAGAGGAAGAGCTGCTGGTGCTAGAGAACTGGAGGGTACTTCTTCAGGAGAAGGGCTACTTAATCTTTTGAGAATCCCTGCCAATTGTCTTTTTCTTTTTCTATAGAAAAAAGTGATGTTTCTGCAATCCAAGATCTGATTTACAAAACATTGTATTTTCCTGAGAAACTACAGCCTAACAGCTCTTTGCAGTGTCAGAATCCTGGAACAGACTCCTCTGCCCACCACACTGTCATCCAGAATCCCTTACAAGATTCAAGGTGAACATCTGCCATCCCATTGGAAACTCTCTTCTGACTGGAACTGAGCATTCACCCTGCATGATAGTATTCTCAGCTTGTCTCTTCTCTCTCAGCTGAATTTGGATGGGAGTAATAGACTCACCTGCTGTATTACATCCGTATCTTCTCGCATTTGTATAATGTTTTATTGGGCATGCGTGGAGCAGTCCCTTCACCATTATGGCAGCCTGAGAGGATTGTGTATGAGATCAAATATTATTAATTTGGTGCTTTTGTGTTAGCAAATGATAACATTTAAAGATCTTGCAAGCTGCTTTTTGAAAGCTTTCTGTGCTATGCTCTGCAAAATATCCAAGAGCTGTTCCTAACAGGGAGAATGAATTTTGTGTGGAGGAAAAGGATATCTTGCCATTGGGTCAAAAAATCTGTTGCTCTTGTGTGGGAGAACAGGACTTTTTACATAATATTGCAGCTTGTTTTTTGTTTTGCAATTTCCATTTATAAATTAATGAAATATTTATAGAGAACAGCATCAGTCCTCTGTATCTTATGGCTGTGAAAATTGAAGCACAAAGCAATAAACTGATACAACCTGCTTTGTCACAGTGAGCACTCCTGTTACTTCTCAGCATTCTTGCATCTCTGACTACTCTGTAACTACACTGGAAGTTTTTCTCCATTTTAATGACCTCTCAGAAGTATTTTTGCATGCTCCCATATAATACTAAGTGCTTGTGTATAACTGGACTAATGAGGCAAGAGCTCTGAAGTTGCAGTAGTGCTTTGGTACCAGTGTTGCTCAAACTAGTGGAAGTTTTGAGCAGCATGGCTTGAATTTGTTATCTGTGGAGAGTTGACAGTGTAGGAACCACATATTATGTAGAGGTGGGATGAACAGGCTGGTTTCTTTGTACTCTGAGATACGTTCCTAACCCTATTGCTACTTGATTTTAATCTTCAGAATTAGTGGACCTGACACAGGGACCACAGTGGAGCAGAGTTCTGCAACGCAGGTTGCTGAAAACATGTAATAAAACAACAGGCACGTGTGTCTTAGCATGTGCTGTTCTATCCCTAAAGCAAACTGCTGCTCTTCATCTATGATGGGTTGTGTATTTCCTCCTCATACATCCTTAATTCTGTGGCCTCTGCCTCCTACACTGGGGACATAAACAGGATAATTATAAATAACACCAATGTCTGAGTTCTCACTCATGGTTTGCACAATCTGGCATGTGTACAGCTTTGTAGGTAATGGACTCTTATTGTATGTGCTTGTTGAAAATGGAGCACTACCACAACTTGTGCCTACCGTGGCCCCACTTAACATCTTGTTTGTCTTTAGTAAGGCATGCTGTTTCCACAGAAGTACTCTTCTTGATCCCATGTTGGGATCTCAGATGTTCCTGCAACAATTGCCTGGAACATTTCATTTGTGACTAGTTGAGCTAATATGTTAGCTGGTCCTACAGGCTATTACTGCGCTATTGCATTAAAACTTCCCAACCCATAACAGCAAAAGAAGATTGTCTATGCTCATTAACAGAGAACAACTCTGTACTGGCAGTTTATGCCAAATAGGTATCTTTCTTAGCAGCACAAGCACGAGGAGGGTACAAATGGTTGTATGACTGAAACTGATTTATGCAAAACAATTTTGCTATACAGGTCAAATGAACAGATAGTTCAAATTGATCTACTGTTGAGATACTGATTTTATTTTAGTCAAAACAGGAAAGCATTAATGTAGATGAATGACATTTTTCTAGGAACCATCTTAAAAAGAAAATATGACAAAACACGTAAATGTTGCAACTTGTGAAGCTTAGGGCTTTTCTCCTGTTGGATATCATTGCTTTGTGCAGTGCAAGCTCAAGAATGCTTCTTTGTGGAGAACAGAGGTCAGAAGGTATGGACGCTGTGTATCGTGGGTGTCCAACTTTTTTGCTTGCCTGGGCCATTCTGCGTGAATGGGAATCATCTTGTGCCACATGTAAAATATGTAATAATGTATAAAGTTTCATAATCAGACATGATAAAATTTTTGAGCTGAATATTAGATTGCAATTGCATACAAAATTCACAGGTAGTGTATTTAGATTGATTGAAATGGAATCCCAAATACAAAAATAAAAAAAGTTTGTTTTTCTTTAATCTCAAAGCCTATTCTCAAATTCTTTTTTCAGAAATGAAAGCAAGGCTGCATATTTCTCACTGCTCACAGGACTGTGTTTAAGCCAGCATATTAAAATGCATGAAATTATTTGATGTAGCTTGAGCTTGCCATAATTTAAATTTTATTTCAAACACAGTCATGTTGGAAACACAGCAGATGAGATCATTTTCATCTTGAAGCTGCATGTTTAACTCATTTAAGTGAGTGGCCAAATCTGTCAAAAATGCTAAATCTGTAAGCCATTTTTAATCTTCACATTCTGACACAAATTTTCCTTCTGACTCCACAAAGGACTTAATTTCATTTCTCAAATCATATAATATTTTTAGTGTTCTACCTTTACTTAGCCACCTGGCTTCAGAAAAGTTAATGGTGTCCCTATAATCAGCATTCTTACTTTTAAGGATTTCCTGGAATTGACGATGATTCAATCCCGTATTATGAAATACAGAGCTTTGATGATGTTTTTGAATTATATTATCAATTTTTAAAGCTTTCTCACATACATTTTCTTAATGTTTGATGCAACAGTATTTCATTGTGTGATTTTTCTTCTGGCAACTGCATTATTTTCTCTTAATTTTGTAAGTCTCTTTTTTTTTTTACCAGCCATTGGTAGGGTGCTATCAGTAGCTTTAACAAATATGTTGACAAAGGTTAAAGAAAATTACTTGAATGTATTTTTTACTGTTTCATACAAATGGGGAGATGTAGTTGTGTCTTTTAAAGACACCAAATTTTCTTATATTCACTTGGCTGTAGTCTGGCAAGACAAACTAATTTCAGAAAAACCTGCTTTGGACATATTATGTGTGCCGTGCTTTCCATGCATTGCTTAATAAACTCTTCAGTAAATGGTTTTAATTTTTTTGCAGTCAGATTTGCTTTCTTAAGTTTATACCAAAATGAACTTTACAATTAGTTATATCAGAATTGTCACTAATGACACTAATAATGGATGAATTAACACTTAACAGCATTCGCCCTGACGTCTGTTTATGGGAACTGCTGAGTCACAGCCTGAACCTCTGACTGATCACCTGAGGCGAGCAATGAGTCAGCCAGAGGAGCACAGGTGAAGGCAATTCACCCGTGCTGGTGGAAGGGGTGGAGCCTGGCTGCACCTCTCCTAGATCCCATTTAAGTGCTGACTGCCACTCAGGATGGATCTTCTTCTGGAGATAGCTCCTTGTGGTGTTTACTGCGAGCCTATGACACTGATGAGTATTTCCATTGATTTTTATTATTTTTCCACTGTGATAATCTTACTAAGCGTAACCTCTGTATACCTATTGATTGTACACCTATTGATTGTACAATTGTACACCCATTGATTGTACACCTACATTACACAATCTGTGCACAAGAGCAATAAGGTGCACAGGTCATCAGGAGAGCAGAAAATTTCTGTATTTGGTAGATATAATTTCAATGATGGCCGAACTGTCAAGAGAGATGTAATAAAAATGTTTAAACCATGCTTCTGTAAACTTGACCAGAGATCAGTTTTATATTGTTCATGAAAGTGTTAGAATGGTTAAGTTATGATGGCTGTGGGAATGAAGGCAGATTCAAGATGTTGCTGAGGACACCTTCTATTGCTGCAGTTCTGTTTTATGGCTTGTTCTACACCTAGGTCCAGCCCCTAAACTGCACCCCTGACATGCCTCTTTCAGATACCAGCATCCCTTGCCCAGTGGAAATCACCACAGGCAGCCAACCCAAGAGTCACCATGTTCTCAATAACAGATACCAGCCATGATTTCCTTGCAGAGAGCACTTCTTCAGTGCTAGCCAGATCTTAGCTACTTGCCAACATTCCACCCAGCCCAACTGCCTGGATTCCAGCTTGTCCCTGGAGAAGATGGACAAGACCAAGGACTACCAGAAGCCCTGCAGTGAAGGGGTTCAGCAGCAGGTGGTATCACGTTGTTATAGGTTAAACTGAACATGCATTCCTTAGTCACACTTGTTAACAATCCAGACATGCTTGCAGGCAGGCTAGAAGAAACAGGGAGCACTGCACTCTCTTACATTCTGAAAGCACAAGGCTCAGTAAAAAGGCCACAAAATACAAACAATGAATTTATTCAGTGAATGTCTCTTCAGACCGCTTCAAGGATTAAAAATCCTGTCTCTTAGGAAAGCCAGCTGCTTCCACCACGTCATGCATTACTGCTGCCATCCTATAATGCCTGGGAAAGAAAAGGCAAGCTATTGCATGTTATTTTGTTAGCCTGCCCCAGACACAAGTGATATAGACCTCAGTCACAAATGGATAAACATAGTTACACACTCAAGTGCTACAGTCACAGACTGCTGACAGATCTTCCTGTGCTCAGAGACAACTTCAGTGAATTTTCAGGGGCTGAAGCCTGGATATGGACACACAGCTAGCTATAGATAACAGCAGTTTGAAAATAAAGCTGACTTTCAATAACTACTACATCCTACAGTGTGATTTTCTTGATTATTAACATGAACGTAATTATTACCTTGTGTATTGGACTTGCTAGTTCACAGTCTGAACCAATGATTGAGCACCAGGTGAGAAGGTGTGGCTAACCAAGGGAGCAAGCAGTGCACCTGAATGACCAGAAGTCATGGACCAGGTCCACACCTCCTCATTTTCACGTAAGAGTTAGCAGCTAAGGAATGGCATGTCTATTTGGAAACTGCCCTCCTCAAGACTCCATGAGCCTTTGGAAAGGGTGAGCCACTTCTTTCTGCATCACTTTCTAAACTAAATCTTACTGAATGCAAGTGTGCTCCTTATTCTAGTAGAAGGCTCTATCACCTCCTTCTATTGATGCATACACTGGAAGTGATCTAAAACTGTCTCTAGACTGAGAATCTATTGTTCGTATAACATAACAAGTACCAACATATTTCATAAGCCTTGAGCCATTGTCTCTGGAGGTGCTTAAGAAATATTTAAATGTGGTACTAAGGAACATAGTTTAGTGGGAAAATATGGGTGGTAGGTGGATGGTTAGACTGGATGATCTCAGAGGTCTTTTCCAACCCTGGTGATTCTATCATTCATTAAAACATGTTAGCACCCTTTTAGAGCTCAGCAGTTTTATGCTGTTTTAAAAGGATGAATCACCTCAAGTTCAGATTCCATTCCCCCATCAATAAAGCTCATACTGATTTTATTTCGTATACATGTCTGTGTGTTCTGTTTGCTTATGGTTTGTGTCTTCTAATGGATGTCTTCATCTCTATTTCTTCAGGAGTCTATACACAGCAAGAAAATTCTATTATAGCTTGAAAGTCCATGCTTGCAATATATATAGTGTGGCTGTAGTAGGAGTAGTTACTGCACAGCTGTGAGTGGGGTCTTTAAATCACAGAATGCAGAATTGATGGATGAGAAGCTGGACATGAGCCCAGAAGGCCAACTGTGTTCTGGGCTACATTAAAAAAGAGGTGGCCAGCAGGGAGAGGGAGGTGATTGTCCTCCTCTACTCAGCTCTTGTGAGGCCCCATCTGGAGTACTGTGCCCAGGCCTGAGGCCCCCAGTACAGGAAGGATGTGGAGCTCTCGGAGCTGGTTCACAGGAGGGCCACTAAGAGGGTCAGAGGGCTGGAGTACCTCTCCTACAAAGGAAGGTTGAGGGAACTGAGCTTGTTTAGCTTAGAAAAGAGAAGGCTCCAGGAAGCTTCTGCTGCTAGAATGCATGCCTCTAACCGGACTCTGCACTGCCAATCACAACCCTCTGAACTCAGCCAGTTCTCAACCCACCTCACTGTCCATTCACCTGTCACGCACTTCCTCAGCTGCTCTATAAGGATGCTGTGGGAGACAGTATCAAACGCCTTGCTAAAATCAAGGTAGACTACATCCACTGTTCTCCCCACATCCACCCCACCAGTGAAGGCCTGGAGTATGCCCAGAGAAGGGCAACAAAGCTGGCACAGGGTCAGGATTACAAATCTTTTGAGGAGTGGCTGAGTCAACTGGATTGTTTAGCCTGGAGGAGGCTCAGGGAGACCTTATAGCTCTCTACAACTACCTGAAAGGAGGCTGGGGCAGGGTGGGGATCAGTCTCTTCTCCAGTACAACTAGCAGTAGAAATAGAGTGAAGGATCTCAAGCTGGACCACGGGAGGGTGGTGGTCAAGAAACATTTAGATGTTATACTAAGGGACATGGTTTAGCAGGAAAATACTGGTGATAGGTGGATGGTTGGACTGGATATCTTGAAGTCTTTTCCAAACCTTGGTGATTCTATGATTCTAAGCTGTAAGGCATTCCCTCAGCAGTCTTTTCTCTAGACTGTCACAGATAACTTCTCTGTCCTGTAGAACCAGGTGAAAGGAAAGACTGTTCCTGGTGAGTCCAGAAAGGAAGAAAGGATTTACATTGTACATAGAGCTATGCAACAATGTAACACGCTACCACTAGCAGGCCCCACTGTGAGGAAGGGCATGAGGATGTGAAGAGCTCCAGGGAGGACAAAGGTCTCTTCCTCACGAACTGTTTTCCAATTATTTGTGCTTCTGGGCTGCACAAGGAAGAATATAAGCCAGCACCTTCCATCGCTATACCTCACCTGAAACTTCTCTTAATCCAAAGAAACTGGTCAACTCTTTTTGCTTAAAGTAACTACTAGAAAGTTAGTCAAGCTTTACCACAAGACATGACCCTTCATTTTCTGCCTGCCAGGACCTACCCAGTAAATCCACCACATTCATCAAAAAACAATAACAACTTCGCTCCTAGATCTAAAGAAAGTAAGAACATTTTTCTAGGCCATTGTTGGCAATCAAATACCTGGATTAAGGTAAGACTTCTCATCTTTACCCAGACCACAACAACATTTCCATGATACCTTCAAAACTACTAGAATTTTGTTGTCTGGCAAACACTGAGCAAACGCAGCTGTGCAAAAACAGATGACAGTGAGTAGTCTTGATCAGGCTACAACTACAAAAGTGTCAGGGCCCCAAGCATACGTTCCTAGAATCATAAATGCATAGGGTTTGAAGGGACATTAATGATCATCCAATTACAACTCTGCACAGGCAGAGTTGCTATCCCCTAGATCAGGCTGGCCAGAGCCCCATCCAACCTGGTCTTGAACACTTTCAGGGATGGAGCAGCCATAACTTCTCTAGGCAATCTGTTTCAGTGCCTTACCAACTTTTTTGTAAAGAACTTCTTCCTAACAACTAACCTAAACTAGAAGAGGGGAGATTTAAAATTGCTTCCCCTTATCCTATCACTACATGGTAAAATGCCAGTCTCCATCTTGTTTATAGGCTCCCTTTAAATACTGAAAGGCTGCAATGAGGCTTTCCCAGAGCCCTTTTTACTCCAGGCTGAAGAGACTGTGAGAACCCTTCTTTGTTTTTTGGTTCAAAGCTTGCTACCCAAAGTATTTCTTGTGATAAGACTGAAATATCTAGGAGATGAGAGGTGGGTGTAGGCATGTGGCAATCAACATCACCATATGGACAATTTCACATTTGAAAGCATGTCTTTGGAGCTGTTTACCTTTGGAAGGGAGTGCTCAGGACTGGAGAACTGGCAGAAGATCCAGCCAGTAAATAACACCAGCTTGCTATGGGAGACTGGGAGATGATACCACTGCATCCTGTGAAGGCAAGATTCAAGTTGATGCCTCCATACTCCCTCTTATCAGCTGGTAAGGCCAGGGAGATGGGAACTAAAGGAGTTCCTGCTGAGATCCAAAAGCCAGAAGCTGTCCCTCCAAGAAGAGCTGACTCAACCACTTTGGACTTAAGTTTGTACTGCCAGTGGAAGTTAGCACCATGGTCACTGTCACCATCAATGGAACAACGCCTGACAACCCACCACTGCTGAAGGTCAACAACTGAACTATGAACCACACTGGACCCACGGTGGTGATTACCTCCCTCTTGTTTCCTACAAGAACTCCTTGCTTCCATTTCCTATATTTTTTATTGTCCTTCTTCCCTTTTCCATCTCCCTGAACAACTACAATTTGTAATAAACTGGTCAGACCAACATTTGAACCATTGTTTCTTAATCTCACATCAGGCATACATATATCAAAGAACCTCCTCTCCCTCCCATAAATTGGAGTGAGACAGGCCCAGCTCCTTCAGCCTCTCTTCATAGCAGAGCTGCTTTAGCCCTCTGATCATCTTACTGGCCCTCTTCTGAACACACTTCAGAACTTCCACCTTTCACACTTCCATCTTTCTTGCACTGGGGGCCCCAAGTTCAGATGCAGTACTCTAAATAGTGCTTGATGAGGGCTGAGGGAGACAATCACCTCCCTTGCCCTGCTGGCCACTCTTTTGATCCAGCCCAGCCTTCCAGGTTGCAAGCACACACTGTTGACTTGCATCAAGGTTTTTATCCACCAGAAGCCCCATGTCTTTTTTCACAGAGCTGCTCTAAATGATTTGTCCCTATCTATGCCCATGTCTGAGATTGCCCCAGTAAAGACGCAGCACCATGCACTTATTATGCCTTCTGGGGAACTGGCAGCCTAGACTGAAGTCCAGCACAAAAAACACATCCAGCTTGGAGACACCTCAGCAACACCTGTTACAATCAAAAAGATTAACGCAGTGGAAGGGCGATACAGGGGTATAACAGCAAAGGGACTAAGACAGATGGGATGGTATTACAAAGGGAAAGAAAAGGTGCTCGCCCATCTCTGATGATCTAGGCTCAGAGGAAAGCCTCCACAAGAGAGGGATCTCCAACCAGATATCTTTCCACAGTGGCAGTCAGCCTTAAATAAGGTTTAAGAGGTGGAGCCAGGTACCACCCCTTCCAATTACACAGGTGAGTTGCCTTCACCTGTGCTCTCAGGGCTGACTGGGCCCTTTCCCCAGGTGCTCAATCAGTGGTTCAGGCCATGACTCAACAGTTATATCTGCTCAGATGTTCAGGATACCATCACCAGGTTCCTTGGTTATGACCATCCATACACCTCACAGTTCTGCCCATTGGCTACTCTGACCATCCCCCTCTTAGAAGCAGATTGTTTCAGTTAAGGGACGGTATGATACTGCTCTCCATTTGCTCAGATTGCCCTTGCTGGATCAATTAATGTACCAAGCATCTTCAAGAATGGGATATTTCCCCTCCTGAATGAAACTCTTCTCTGGTGGAGCAACCAATGTTTCTTTCAGCACATCACTGCAAGACATCACTGGGCCTAAGATCTTTTGAAGCTCTTCTTTCACTGGTGATGGAGACAGACTACTCCTCTGGCTATCCCTCATGCCACCACTGTGCTTGGGCCACCCCTCTCTTAGGAAGGTGGGTCAGATCTGAGACCAGAACCCAATGAGGGTGCAAACAGAACCCTGGCCTTGCCACAGGCCCCTGCCAAACCCATCCTGAGTGACATGAACATTCAATTCAGCTGGGAGGGTAGAGTTAAATACACCCAATGCCTGGGCTTGTTTAACAGCCAGTTTTGCCTGTTAGAAAGCCTTATGTTCTGTTCTCCCCAAGTCTCACAGTTGCCCCTTTTGTTTTTTAATGAATTTTTATAATTATCTTAGCAGCTGCACCAAATACGGTATAAAGGAACACCAATATTGCAATATACTTCAGTACTCCTGCAGCTGCTTTGATGTTGCAGAGACTAGGAATGCCTGAACCTTATTTATTACAGCACCAGGTAGGACTTCGGCCTTTCCTGACCAAACCACCTCAGGCTCAGACCTTGCACTCTTCTGAGGATTCGTAGCCCATCTTCTTTCTTGCAGATGGTAGTTAATGAATCTACCACCTGTCCTACCGCCTCCAGTGAATCAGATGTCAACAGATCACCAATATAATGGTGCAAGTTAACATTATTAGGTTTTTCCTAATTTGCCAGGTCACGTGCCACTAGGTTATGGCAATATGTTGGTGAATGTACATACCCTTGTGGCAGGACCTGAAAGATCCACCGCCCACCTCCCCACATGAATGCAAACTGGCCTTGCAATTCTTCAGCAACTAGAATACTGAAAAATGCACTTGTCAAATCTAGGACACAGTGATAGGTTTTTATCTCCCTACTGAATGTGTCCATTAAGGAGGCAATATCAGCTACAGCTGCAAGAACAGGGATGGTATTATAAAGAGAAAGAAGAGGTGCTCACCTGTCTCTGAAGATCTAGGCTCAGAGGAAAGTCTCCACAAGGGAGGGATCTCCAACCAGATATCCTTCCACAGTGGCAGTCAGCCCTTAAATGAAGTCTAAGAGAGGTGGAGCCAGGCTCCATCCCTTCCAATTACACAGGTGAACTGTTCTCACCCGTGCTCCCACAGCTGACTGGGTCCTTTCCCTAGGTGCTCAATCAGTGGTTCAGGCCATGAACATCAACAGTTACCAAACACCCTTTGCCCACAAGCTATAGCTATATCCAAGCCTAAGGCTCTCACCCTTGATCCCTATCTGATCTACAGTACAGCCACAACTATGCCTGGCAATATACCCTGTTGATCTGAATCCTCATCCTCACCTGTTCTACCTTTGTGTTTAGGTTCCACAGGACTTTCCTTTTTTGGAGAAGACACTGTCCCTGCGTACACTGCTGACTAAGCTCCCAGCTTGCTTTCCTTTTACAGCATTATGTCTTCGCCTTCTCCTGACAAAGGGCCCACTCAGCTCATCTCTGCAGTCAGCAAAGACTGCTTCCCATTCACAAGCACCACAGAAATTAATTCTGACAAACACCTGCAGGATGTAAAACCTCTAATGGCTGAAATATTAGTTGGCAAGGCTATCAGAAGTTCTCTCATTTGCTAGTTTTATCCACATTCTTACCTAGAAACAAATATCCCTTTAGTCAAGTCTGTTTTCCACATTACTTCCCTCCCTCCCCCCATCACCACTTTGAACAGCCATAGGTCATGATTACATCCTTCTTCCACACTCATACTTCCTTGCCCAGAGGCTGAACTCAGTTTGTTTCTAGAGCTGCTTTTGCCCAGTTTGTAGGTAGTAATGTGTTTGCAGAAGAACAAGTGGGATCTTGTTTGAGACAAAGATCTTCACTCTACAGTGCTTCCAAAACAACAATCTGACAACTTAGACTCACGATACTCTTTTCCCCAAGGTTACTTATTTAATAACGATTTCACCAATACATTTTATGCTTAATATACGTATCTTTAATTTTTGCCTTTTTATTTTTCAAATACATCATATATTATCTCCAGAATACTAAGACAACATGGAAGAGGCTCCTAATTAGTTTTAACTGGTGCTGTGAAGTCCTTGATTTGGAGAACTTATACGTCGTTGAAATGACAGGACCTGCCAATGCTGTGAGAGAGGGGGGGAAGAAAAGCCAACCAGTGGAGTCCATGGCTTAGCTAGCATATTACAGCCACCCACAGATTCTGAGCAGGCAAGGAGCTTAAGTATAATAAGACTGCAGGAATGACTGGGGGGGGTGGAAGGAAGGGAGAAACGGGGGGACACCAAGAAAGTCAGGTCATCAGGACTGAATCAGTGCTTAAAATACATCTAAGAGCAGTCTTGCCCCCATTACCACAAGAAGTGCAGAGCTATTTTCAAAAATAGTTTTACTTCCAAGCGAAACATAGTCCCCAGAATGCCCTCAACGTAGTAAAAAGGATAAAACAGACCTCAGAGCTTTGCAAATGCAAGGTACATACAACTAACTACTCTCTCTTTTAACATCCTCACCAGGCAATCTTAATTCCAAAGGGCACTATTTAGTTGTGTATCCTAATTACGGAACTGTTGACACTGAGCTGGTTTGTTGTTGAAAATGGGAAGAAGCCTTCTAGTGAATTACCAAAGCGCTAGTGTTCTAGTCATTGTGACCATCATCCTGGCTAGTGTTTTGGCTCAACAGCATGGAGGGGCTTGGGAGATTTTCAACCTGCCAGCAGGCTTTCCCAAATTTATCAGCAGACTTACACCCCAGATCACATCCATAGTTGCTGAAGATGAAATAGTGTACAAAGGGCCTTCAGAAACTTTTCTTTGAAGAAAATCACCAAGGAACCCAGAAGGGATAACTTGGCTGTCACAGTTCAAGATGAGGCCTACCATACATGTCTTGCCCAAATGATACGAGCTGAAAGCATATGTGACTGTCCCTTCACCAGAAATTAACCCCATCCCACTATGGTCCTTACTGTGGCCTGAATATGCAATACTTGTTAACTTCTCATTGTAATAAGTATTGCTTGACAAATAAAGGTAAGGGCTCAGCAGAGTGTCACAGGAACATGAAATGCTAAGCAGCGGGATAACTAAATTGACATCTAGTGCAAGTAACTACCTAATTACAAAACCAGGCTTTTTCTCCCCCAAAGCTATTTCCATTTAAACAGCTCACTGACAATGAGTTTGGATGAGGGAAAAAGGAAGAAGTGAGAAATTCCTCCAGAGACTCTGCAAGCTAAGCAAGGAGCCTCACGATGGGGTGACCAGCTGCAGCTAAATCAGGGGCAGCAAGTCTACTCGAGGGCTTGCACAATTCCTCCCATAGGAGCACAGGAACATCCAGTACTATCAAGAAATGCACCAAAGAAAGGAAGTGCACTACATGCACAGTAAGATTCACTCCTCACCACAGACAGGATTAATCAAATGGCATTTTGTGTTATGACTCAGGAGAAACATGATAGCTTACAGCTTCCATTTAAAATTGCAGCTTTCAGCTCTGAAGGCCAAGCCACAGCAACTCAAGTTGCTATTGAAAGCGAATGTAGAAAGCAGTCTGCAGCCAAAAAATTTAAAGGACGAAGAACCCAGAGACATCTACCCAAACTCCTCCTGTATGAACTCACTTCAGGATTCTTGCTTTTCTTATGTGCAAAAATAGAGTAGAGCTAGGATGTACCATGCAACAGCCGAGTGAGTAGAAGAGATCAGGCTCTCTTCCTTTTGCTCACCTTGTGAGGAGTCAGGATATTCTCTTCAGGTTCAGTGGGTTTCACTGTGGGAATCAAAAATATTAAGTTTTGACTGAAGTAAAGATCTGGCTTTAAAAAAAAAAAAATTGTCCAACTTGTTCTTGATTGCAGATTGGAGAGGTTTGTGCCCCCTGTGACTATTTGTGCCTCTAGACTCTTGGTCATCAGTTTATTCCATTCCACTGCTTTAACCATTCAGAACTGGACCCAGTTGGACTGCTGAGGAGCCTGATTAGGAACACCACTGAAAGAAAGAAAGGACAGTCAAAGGTGTACCCCTAACAATGCCTGTTAACTCACTGCTCCTTCAGCACATATTAGAATGTCACCCTTCCTGTGTGCAGTCCCCTTCATCACAGTTTACCTGGATGCAGTGTTGAAGTCACCCCAGACATCTGTGGTAGTTGATGTTGGTGTCTTGGATGCACATGCAGGAGCATCTAAGTCTAACAGAATATCTAAGACAGAAGAAGAGGAAAAAAAATCTGAAATCTGTCAAGGTAGTAGAAAAAACAAAAATGATGTGCAGGTATTTAAACTGTCATGTTATACAAACTACTGGATGCAGTGGCACAATCTTTGAATGGACTCCAGCTCTTCAGAAGAAGAAAGTGACAATTTTTAAGGGCCTAGTCTGCTTTAACAGTAGCCCTTTTTGTCAAGCATGCACTGAGGCTGCAGTTCCTGCTATAGAGTTATTTTCTCTTCAAGAATCATTAGGTCTCTATCTAGCACATCAACTGGCAGCTTTACAACATATTATCCCCTCCAAGGAAATCTAAGGTCTCAGCACAAGCACAGCAACCTTAACAGTTGCTATCAGCATAAATCACAAGCTGCAGCCCAGCCCTATTCAGAAGCTTGTGGTTTCTTCTTATCACTCAGGTCAGTATGTCTGTGAATTCAGGAACAGTGCTATATCATTAGCATTCATCCTGTGGTCATGCATTTAATTCAGCATCCAAAAGACTCAGAAACCTCTTTGTTACAGCCCAATCTCACTATGTTTTGCACCTTCTGGTCTTCATACTAAAAGCTAGCTCCTTTCTTATTTAAAGCCTCTCCAGAAGTGCTTTATACCTACACCTTTCAACAATCATGGGCTATCTGTACGTCCCTAAGAAAAGCAAGCAACTCAGCACTTCTTTTCTGAACATTCCGCACAGCTCTGCCAGCGTCCCTCAAGCACATATAAGTTTAGAAGAATCCAACTAATTAAATACCATATCTATCTGCCCAGGTCATTTTGGCCACATCATTTGTTTTCTCCTTTTGCAAGGAGAACAGCTACAGTGCTATTTAATGGGCTAGCATTATTAAACAAACACAGAGATCTCAGGTCAAAGACAGAAAAGATCTCAGGGTACATCATGTTACATAGTTCTTTTTAAACTGCTCTGTTGATGTTACTGTGAGCTTGAATGCCACTTCCCTCCACCTTCTCTACGTACCTACTAATGTTTGATAGATCGTTTGCTCTGTGCTAACATTTACCTGCACTGCTCATGTTGCTGGATTTCAGCGTGGGTGGTGGTGAGACATGGTTGGCAATGGATGTGGAAGAAGCAGGAGGGATTGAAGGGACTGCAATTTTGCCTCCTGGCGGGGGTGGCAGCAGACTTAGGCCCCCTGATCCAGACACACGAGGCTTGGCTGCTCCTCCTTTCTTAGTTGTCATGTTCTGTACAAAAATGAAAGGACTAGTGAGAAAGATTATCCACTGGAATATCCAGAAAAAGAGGTAGGGTCAACTGGGCTCCTTACCCCAATGTTTAGTTTGATGGTCTGCCCCTCCTTGAACCCTAAATCCAATTTAGGACGTGTGTCAGCTTCCAGGGTCTCCTTGGAGATCTCAGTTTCCTGCTTCACCCACCTAAAAAAATGACAGGGAAAAGATAAGAGACTGTGGCAGATAGGAGCGGAGTTTTGGTTTTTTTAAAAAGAAAAAAAAAAAAAACCACAACACAACAACACGATTCTTTTCCACAACCTGACAAATAACTATCTTGCCTTTTCAAACCAACTCCCTCACTACTCTCAGTGTAGTACAACAAAAAAGCTCAAAACACCACAAAACCAAGAGACTGTCTGTAGTGTCATAGGATTTAAGAATAAGACTACAGAGCCAGCAGGAAAGCTGAAAAGGACACGTAGGAAAGAAGGGCACGTAGCAACGGAATGAGGAAAAGGGTAGTTTCAGATTAGATGTTAGGAAGAAATTCCTTCCTGTGAGTATAGTGAGACACTGCAACAGGCTGCCAAGAGGTTGTGGATGATCCCTCCTTGGAGGCATTCAAGGCCAGGTTGGATGGGGCCTTACACAACCTGGTCTAGTGGGAAGTGCCCCTACCTACAGCAGGGGGGTTGGAGCTAGATGATCATAAAAGTCCCTTGCAAACCAAATGAATCTATGGCTTACAGACTGGACCTTGAAGGACTCCCAGCTTACAAGACAGTTGGCAATACATTCAAGCATTCCTAATCGTGACAGAGCAGGGCTTCATGACCTTCCCAAGAAAACCTCTGCTATGCAAATGAGCACCACCACCCAATACATTCCAGGGGCCAGAGGGAAAACAGCATTCCAGAAAAGCACAACTCACTTGAAGTGATCCTGCAAAGACACATTGAAGTCAAAGGCATCACCACGATCTGTGAAACCAATGCCTATAAAAGCACTTCGTCCTATCAAGGAGACAGAAGGAGTCACTGGAGGTGCCTTGTGAATGGGCCTGTGTTCATTCACTCCAAAAACCATTCTGTGCTACCCCTTTGCAACTGATCTACCACTGAAACCAGCATCTCACAGAATTTCACTGTTCCTAGCTTAGAGGATGCTAGGAACATGTGATACTCTCAGAAGCCGAATGCTCCTCCCCAGCCCCTGGACTACATGCAACACAGAGAATCCCTCTCAGCAAGCTTCCCTTCCCACCCTTCCAGACATCCTACCCAGCCTTTTCAGTATTCCCATCACTATCTCAATCCACCACATATACACACAGCTTCATCAGGTTGAGTGTCCTCAACCCCAGCACTTGGCATACTCAACTCACCAGTCCCATCCTGAATCCGAATCACAAAATAACGGCTCGAATCCGTCACAGTCTCCACAGCAATGCCAGGATATTGGTCTATGGGAGCCTGGGCAAAAAGCTCCCCTACAAATAAAGAATTAAGTACTGAGGAAAGCAACTGTTTTTCTAAAGCATGTCCAGGACTGTCACACACAGCTATGAGCAGGCTCAGGAGCACAGGCTCACAATTAGCAACCACAGTTATAATTTCAGCAAGCCACCTTACTCCCCTTACCTGAGACCTTATCCTCTAGTTTCACATATGCAGTTTTTCCTTTGGAAGTGACACGAAGTCTCCCTGTCCAGTCCGGATGGTCCAGTTTCCAGTCAGATGCCCTGAAAAGAAAAGCAGCTGTTCATTGACTATATCTCAACCCTTCAGCCCAATCAGCTCAGCTAACGTCTCTGTTCCCAAACCTTCAACACATGAGGCTGTCTTCTCTCTTCAAACATCACGCCAGATCTCAGCTCTCCTCTACTGCTGCTAATCTACAAACATCACTCCAACTGGTCTGTCCTTCTTCCACATAAAGGGAAATAGACAACAACCAAAGAACGTCAGCTCACCTCTACCTTTATAAGCTTGCAGAAGAGGAAGACTGAAGCCCAAAAACTCACTTGGAACAGTAAATCCAAAAGGGACTAAGTAACAATTTATGAGTATTTTCTAGGAAGAGCTAGCATAAAGAAAAGCCAATCCACTATTTTACCCCATTGTTGTAAAATAATATCAAGTATCTCTGAATCTAGAGGCTTCTAGGTTACATGGATCAAGTGAAACATCATACATGCAACCATACTGATTAGCCCATCAAATAGACTGCTGTGAAAAGGGAAGAAAACATCAAAATACACACAAAAACAGGCCAACCAACAGGAGTTAACAAATATGTTTTAAGAAATGTGAACTTCTGAGTTACTCCCCGACACTGCCAGAGCCAACAGGTAAAGTTCAACATTTGATTATCCCATCCAGAAGGACCCACATAGGCTTGAGCAGTGGACCCAGGAGAACCTCGTGAGGTTCAACAAAGCTAAGTACAAGACCTTGCATCTGAAGTGAGGCAACTCTCACTACCAATACAAGCTGGGGAATAAAAGGATTGAGCATAGCACTGCCAAAATTACCTGGGGGTACTGGTGAATGGCAAGCTGGACAAGAGCCAGCAACGTGCCCTTGTAGCTCAGAAAGCCAGCTGTATCTTAGGGTGCATCAAAAGAAGCACGGCCAGCAGGTCAAGGAAGGTGATCCTGTCCCCTCTACTCCACAATGGGGAAGCCTCACCTGGAGTACTGCATCCAGATGTGGAGTCCTCAGTACAAGAGAGACAAACCTGCTGGAGCCTGTCCAGAGGAGGGCCACAAAAACAATCCAATGGATGGAATACCTCTCCTGTGAGGACAAGCTGAGAGAGCTGGGGCTCTTCAGCCTGGACAAGACTCAGAGGTGACCTGATAGCAGCCTTTCAATATCTAAAGGGGAACTACAGAAAAGAATGGGACAGACTCTTAAGCAGTGTCTGTGGCGATAGAACAATGGGAAGTGGCTTCAAGCTCAGAGAGGATAGATTTAGGCTGAGTATAAGGAAAAAGTCTTTCACAATGAAAACGGTGTGGCACTGGAACATGCTGTCTAGAGATGTGGTAGATGCTCTGCTCCTGGAGACTCTCAAGGCAAGGCTGGATCAGGCCCTGGGCAACCTGATTTAGCTGCGCATGTTCCTGTTCACTGTGAGGGACCTGAATCGAAGGATTGTTCCTGGGCTAAGGCACAGGCAGCACGAGATGATTAAAATCTATCAGAAGAATTTAGTATGTCATCTGTAGCTGAAGTCAGCAGAACTAGAAGTGTTATGGCCTCAGAAAGTACTTCTGATCTGCTTGCAACCAGAGAGCAGCTAAGCAGGCACTAGTGCCTATGAAAACCTGCTTCCCAAGTCCCTGCTTATTCACACAGAAGGGATCATGCCAGCTGATCACTTATGTGAACACCAGAGCCACATGCTGCATTAGCTGTGCCAGGTTTGCAGAGACGACAAAAGGAGGGGGTGGGGAAGGATGCACAGGACAGCAGTTATGGTATGACCACAAGCACATGCATAAAAATGGCTTTTTACTCTGCAGACCTGCTTATGGCTTCCCACCCTCCTCTGTCTCATCTAAGCAATTATGAAATCCGATAGGCCTGATGCTGCAACACGGTCTCGGTTAGGAGGCGAACAGTAACGACAGCTGCTGCACCCTGCTTCCAGTGGGGCACTAAGCACCGGCTCCGTCCCGACCACCCACCTTGCTCCCTCACCGGCAGCGGCACTGCCTGCAGCTGAACCCTGCAGCACAGACGCCACCACCTTGACGCGATCACTGACCCCGGGCAAAAATGCCTCCTCTCTTCTCTCGCCAGCCCAGCGAGCGGACAATAAGGGCTGGGCCAGATCAGGCAAAGGCAGTCAGGGGGCGACCCTTGGAGCCGCGCACAGCCCCGCGCCGAGCATCGGCCCGCTAGGCGCAGTTCGGCCCCAGTCGCCGGCACCCTCTGACCTGTATCCGCGGTTGGAGGTTCGCGGCGGGATGCGGTACACACTGACATCAGGCTTCACGCAAAGGACAGACTCGTACTCCAGCTCAGCTGCCGCCATCTCAGAGGCGAACCCCAGCACCCCAGTGAGGACTGAAGGATAAGAGCCTAATAAAACGGGGCACTTCCAACAGCCATCTTTGATGAGGTCAGACACCATCTGGAGGGCGCTGGTGAGGCCTTAATGGAATCAGGCCATGCCGAAGGCGGGGGGAAGACATCTTGGATCCTGGCAGCAAAACGCTCCGCAGGGGGCGGCCATCTTGGAATCGGTTCTAACAATACAATAGGAGCCGGCGCCATCTTGGGTCTTGGCAGTGCCGTCGCTCCCCCTACCCCCCTCTCGCAGCTGATGAAGTCGTGCGGGCGCTCTACGGAATACAAATTTCTTCCGATTAGCTCAGGTTCCGGACTGGCGCAGAAGGTAGTCTTGTCGGGATTGGGAAGAGCCAGGCAGGGCTCTAGAGCGATGGTGGGTGCCGGTAAGGACCCGTGGGCTGTCTCGGGGCCATATCTGTTGGCTGCGGGGCTGAAGCGCTGCGGGAGCAGAGGTTGCCATGAAGCGACAGTAGCGTCAGGAGGAGTGGACGGGCTTCCCGACGGGGCGCCTGGGAAAGCCCCAGACCCACACCCATCGCTCAGGAAAAACTAAACCGTCAGCCTACTATTAACGCTGTTTAAGCTCTCACCAGAAGGATGCAGTGCAGTGCCAACTGAAGCTATGATAAATAACTTCCTGCGTTTTGATACATTAACTAAATAGAGCCCCGTGAACAGCAAAAAAATATGCAGCCACACTTTGTTTTGATAAAAGGAATGTGAGAATAGGTTTCAAATTACAGAAAAAAAATACATTTCTTTGGTATATTTGCAACTCCATTTGACATAAGCACATTTTTCAAATGGAATGTATAGAGTTGCGATCAGATATTTAAAAGTCTGATTATTGCTCTTCAGACTGTTATAAGAAAAATATCCTTTGCTTCACAGTCATGCCTTATTCATGTCATCACTTCCAGCAGTACACACTTCTGTATACACATATCCTACTATCAAGAATGAAGAACAAAATGAGAAAAAACTTTGTAAAAATACTCTGAGCACCGAGAATTACCACCACTACCATCAAACCAAATTGGTGCTTTAGTTTTACAAAAACAAGGTCTAAGATCCCACTAGTTCTGTGGTTTTGTTTCTCTCTTTTTTCTAACCATCTTAATAAAAATATTAAATATTAAAATGTCTTGTTACTTGCATACATTAACTACTGTAACATGACAGAAAGCACAACAATGCTTTCCAAATAATTTCCAGAACACAGCAGAGCAGCAAGGTCCCACACCACAGCAAGTGAGGATTTGCTCAAACACAATAGCAGTGGACACAGAAATAAGAGAAAGAAGCTGCTTACCTCCAGAAAGCCTCAAACATAGAGGGATCTTCAGATAAGATACCCTCACTTCCTCTGCCAACCCTTAAATGAGTTCTGAGAAGGGGTGGATCATTGCATGCACCTGAGCTCCCACTCCCCTGGGTTGGCCCTGCTTTCCTACCAGGTGCTTAATCACTGGTTCAAGCTGTCACTTAGCATTTCCACTACACTCCACGCCTCCATAGCATGAACCAATAATTGATCAGATTAAAGGTAAACCCTTTATTTTATGGTAATCCAGTGCAAAGTAATGCTCGTACAACTGTCCATCATTATGTAGATTGACAAAGTATGAGATGATGATTGGTTTATGTTTATGTTGATGTTCCTTCATCAGCCAGTACTTGATAGTTCTCCGCAAGACACAAAGTTGCTTGGACTAAGGGAAGGTTTGGCTTGTGTTCCATCAGTCCCATGTAGTTCATCACCAGCTGTCATGCAGATCTTACAGTGACACTGGAATATGCTGATACCACTTTACTCCTGGTGATCTTGTGGACTCAAGCTCATGAAGGGTAGTACAGATGTTGCAGAGATACAAGAAGGGGTAGGTCCACCCTCCACAGCAAGATAGAGGCCATGTTCCTGCCCTGGATCAACACTTACGCTTGTGCTGTGGAACGTCCTGCCCATATGTACCATCCTCTTTGTCCCAATATCCGAGACTGCATAGCTATATTAGGTATCAAAGGGGGAGTCCTGATTTGCCAGAGGGACATGATTAAGGTCCCCATAGTGATGAAAACCAGAATGTTGACCCAGTGTCTGCAAACCGTGTACACACTGCTGGGGGGATTAGAAATCCCTCAACCACCACCAGTCTCCCTTAGGGTAGCAAATAGGCCACACCATTTTGGTCCTTCTTGCAACCTTCAAGGCCATTCTGTTCTATGGGTACCCGGTTCTAAGTTTTCAGAGGCAGGAAGAAGATTATTTTCATTGCCAATTTGGGGTCTTACCTGGTTATTGATGCACATAATTTGAATCCTAAGCAGGGAGGCTCGTGTCATCTGCAATATCTTCACGGCACTGTGTCTGCCATCTTTAGGCATGAAAATTCATGTCCTGCAGAGTTTCATAGAGCCTCTTTGTCCACCTCTGCAGGGACTGAGAGTCTGTCTTCAAGACAGCCTTAAGACTGCTGTTATAGCATTCAATAAGGCCTGGCCCTGTCAGATTATGTGGCAGATGGAATCTCCAGTCGATGTTGTTTTCTTCTGCCCAGCATAGTACCACTGCACCAGTGAAATGAGTCCCTTGGTCACTTTCGATGACTTGAGGTGCCTCCTAGGCAGCCATCAACTTGATGAGAGCCCTGATGGTATATGCCTGGTTTGCTCTTGGCACTGGATAGGCCTGTATTAGCCTGCTTGCTGTGTCAGCACAGGTCAGGGCATATCTCACCTCCCTCAGACCGAGGAAGGGGCCCAATGTAATCAACCTGCCACCATTGGAGAGGATTGTGTCCTCCAGCAAGATGGGCTGTTGTTTTGGGCAACAATCTGTCTCACCCTAGAGCAAGCATTGTAATCTCAGCATATCTGACAAAATCAGACAGTTGTATGGGCAGCCCCCCATGCTTTAGCAGCTGCCCACATTGTCCTTTGTCCTGCATGCTGCATCTTTTGTTGTAACCAGCGAGCGATGTTCTCAGAGGGTGAATTTTCAGACTATTGTACTCAAGCCTGTATGTCAGCTTCACTGTTTCCTTGTGACCATGAAGATTGGTGACCAGAAACATGGTAGACATGTATGGTCCATATGTCTAACGACATATCTCTACCCCATATTTGTCAGATATAAATAGTCCATTCATGGATGGCCCACTGTGCAATCCAAAGAGTGAGTCCCCAGTACACTACCTAATTATCTGTGCAGATATTCAGGACATCATCACCAGGTTCCTTGGTTATAACCGTCCACACACCTCACAGTTCTGCCCATTGGCTACTCTGATTATTTCCCTGTTCAAACCAGATTGTTTGGAGGGATGGTATGCTACTGCTCCATACTTGGAGCTTGGATTATCCTTGCTAAACCCATCTGTATACCATACATCTTCAGGAGTGGGATATTTCCCTTCCTGAAGACTCTTCTCTGATGGAGCAACCACTGTCTCTTCTGGTGCATCACTGTGGTACATCACCAGGCCTAGTATCTTCTGGGGCTCTTCTTTCAACAGTGATGAAGACAGACTTCTCCTCCAGCTGAGATAGGCAACCCATTGTGCCACTGTCTGTGCTTGGGCCACCCTGTCTTAGGAAGGTGGGTCAGATCTGTCACCCATCCCTGAGTTGGCAAGGTCATCTTAACTATAACTTCAGCTGTTTGTGTTACTGGCTGTACTGCCTGTAAGGCAGAGTAGGTGGCCAGTTTTTCAATCATACTATACCTCACTTCTCCATGCCAGTCCTGAAACCAGAACCCAACTGGGGTTCAAATGGAATTCTGGCACTGCCATACTTCAACTGAACCCAGTCTGAATCACATGGAGATCTAGTTTGGCTCGAAGGGTAGGACAGAATACACCCAGTGCCTGGGACTGTTTAAAAGCTAGTTTTGCTTGCTTGTAGGCCTCTTCTTCCTTTCCATGTTCTCATTTGTACTCATTCAATTATATGTACTCTTGCTTTTTAGGGGGTGTTTTGAAATTTTTAATTTTCCTCGAGCTGCTTCTGTAGCTGGAGGAGGGTACAATTGACTGGAAATCAGTTTTTGCAACTTGAATACCAGCCTGGATTAAATTTTGCACATCTGTTTCTAGGATACTTGTATAGGCCCCTATCAAGATGCCTGCAGGGCAGGTCTCCTAGTTTTAGTTACAGGGAGGACCTCTGCCCTTCCATTGTTCAGACACTGTGCCTGATCTATACGTGCTCCATTTCCCCTAGATCAGCCATCAAATGGACTGGATGATGGCCTCTGAGGCCACTAAAGGGCTTAAGTACAGACACCAGTAGGCCATATGGTGGGGAGGTGCCTGTTGTAAGATGAGGTCTCTCATTCCTGCTAAAAACTTAGCCAGGTCCAGACTCTGAAAAGCGGCATCATAAATCACCTTCTTCATTCCAAGTCCTCTAATATGATTTTGAAGTTCCTCCATCGAAGCCCATGGACCAGTATTTAATGGGACATTGCTTTAATTAGGCCATGTGATTCTACATGCAGCCATTATCCATTGAATTAGAGAATGATTCTCATCATTATGCAATATAGTAATGTGTAATCTTTGTCTGAGGACTGAATATGTGGTGATGGATGCATGTCCAGAAATCACTGAACCACACTGTCAGCTCCCATGTCCTACAGTCTTAAGAGCCAAGCCACTACAGTCCCTTGTGTATTCTGTTTAAATCATTGTAATAAATCTGTGAGTTCTACAGTCATGTACAGACACACTACCACACATAGTGTGGGTGTGGGGAGGGGGGCCACTCCTGTGGTGGCAACCTCATCTCAGGCTGAGATGTTGAGTAGTTACATCTGAGGTTCTCAAAGTTGGACTTCAGTTTTCTTGACTTTCCTATTATTTTTAGATCCAACCAGAATTCAAGAATCCTGTTAGCCTCAGTCCTTTTTTCCTTCAAAGGATATAGTTCTAAACTTCAGAGGAGTATAACATAATGGAAAGCACAGAAATGACAGCAGAACAGCAAGATCCCAGGCTACAGTGAGTAAAGATTCACTCATACACGACAGTGAACACAGAAATAAAGGAAAAGGAACTACATACCTTCAGAAAATCTCACATATGAAGGAATAACCAGAGATACTTCGCTCCCCTTCCCCCTCCTGCTCCACTCCTTATCACTCAGGTGCAATACACCTGAGCTCCCCTGGGTTGGCCCTGCCTTCCCACCAGATGCTTAATTACTGGTTCAAGCTGTGTCTCAGCATTTCCTCTACAACTATATTATACATTTTACAGGGGCAGCTCTGAAAGTTATTCCTCCTGTTTTACTATATTGGCCCATGATGTCAGAACTGGATGTTGGTGTTACAGCAGGAGAGGTTGAACCTTCCTGCTAATATCATTACATTTTGTTGCCATGTGACAGATGGCAGTAGGGGAGCAATCTAACAAAATAGCATCTGACATGCAAGTACATATGAAGCAAAGGTGTGTCATTGAATTCCTTCATGTGGAAAAAAAGGCACCCATTGACATTCATCAAAGCTTGATGAACATTTATGGAGACTAACAGTGAACGTGAGCACAGTGAGGTGGTAGATGCTGTATTTCAGTGACAGTGGGTCATCTCCTCTGGTGCAGGTTTTGGAGAGCATGGCCTGTTGGCTCTTGTTCACTGGTGGTGAAAATGCATAGCTAATGGTGGTTAGAATGTTGACAAATACTGTTTCATAGCTGAGAATTTTCTCTATCAAGCAGAGTTACTATGCTTATTTTATCTGTTGTGGTTTCCACAGAAATAAGTAGGAGGCACTACTTTTGGAACAATCTATGTATATGTGAAATTTCCTTTAGACATTAATAAGAACAAAACAGCAAACTTCTGGTTTAACTGGCAGATCTAAAAGTAACTTGCCATTTTTAAAATAAAAAATGTGAACAGCTATATGAGTAAATACATAGAAGCAATGACAATGCATGCCTGGTGTGAGCTAAGTACCAAACTGACAGTGGAATACGCAAACGTGAAAATTCTGTTTTCATCTCTGCCAGCTAGTTCTGCCTCTCTGAAGTGGGAGAGAGGGGCTGACACACATTACTTTATGTTGAATCTTGATGCCCAAGAAGCAGAGGTCCATGCCCTGCTGAGTGGATGAAGAAAGTCTGCCCTACAAGGCTGCACACTGGGGCAGGCAGATACCTGCCTAAGAGAGTGTTGAGCACTTTTGTGCAGCTCGCACAAGAATGAGCAGGAATATTTGGAGCCGATTCTTAATGGAGATGTATGCCACAATGTAAAGTAAAGCTCTGCCTCCCTGCTTACAGAATGCCAGTTTTATATTGCTTGCCTGATTGCTAGATTTAAGGCAGAGAGGTTAATGAGAGGCAAACCTTGGAGAACAGAGCAGAACTGCTTAAAGGCAGTATATAAGATCTTTTCCAACTCAAACCCTTTTATGATTCTGTGATGGTGTAACTAGTAACTGGCAGACTGCTGCAGTTTCATAATGGCAAATCTGAAATAAATAATGTCAATTGTAAATTGCAGTAAGGTTTTAGTCAATTGATTATGATCACCACTTGAGGTTTACCATCAATGTTAATTTCAACACAATCATCCTCATAGACACATTGGCAGAAAATGGGCTAAATAAATGGGCAGTGAGGTGGATTGAAGCACTGGACTCAGAGTGTTGAACAGAAGAGCTAAATCCAATTAGGTGCAAGTGAGTAGTAGTATTCAGCAGCAGAATACTACTGAATACTACTACTTTCTGGTACTGTTTAACTCTTTAAGAACCTGGATGATGAAGCAGAGTGCACCCTTAACAAGTTTGCAGATGATACAAAACTGGCTGACATACCAGATGGTTTTTCTGGAACTCAGGGAAACATCAACAGGCTGACTGGTCGGACAGGAACATAATGAAGTTCAAGGTAGGGAAGCACAAAGTCGAACATCTGAGAAGGAATAACCCCAGACATTTATACATTCTTAGAGCCAACTGACTAGTAAGCAGCTTTGGAGAGAACGATGATCTTGTGGTCCTGGTGAACATGAGCCAGTACTACCACATCACAGTAATTAAGGCTAACAGCACTCAAAGCTGCATTAGGAGAAGTGCTGCCAGTTGGTGTAGGGAAAGGCTCCTCCCCTTCCTCACTACTGCTGAGGTCACATCTGAAGTGCTGGATGCTGTTCTGAGCATTTCAGTACTAGAGAGATATGGGACATAGCAGAGTGAGGCTTGTGAAGAGCCACTTAGATGATTATGTGACTGGAATACCTTTCATGCAGAAATGGCAGTATGATTGGTGTGTGTAAAGGAGATGAAATCAGGCTCAGTGGTGTCTGATGACAGGCAGTTGGGGCAGACTGAAGCATGGGAAATTGTGTCCAAGAGACACAAGAGAACACTTTTTTACTCTGAGGGCAGTTGAACATTGGAACAGATTTTCCACAGAGTATTATCGTGTATTTCATCAACTGAATTTTTTCAGGCTGGAAAAGCAGCTGATGTGGAGTGATAAAAAGCCAGAATGGTAAGAAATTGGATGGGCAAGATGAATGTGCAGATCTCATAACAGATGAAGGAGCTACAGAACAAAAAGATTGGACATTGACACCTAACGGTATCACGTTAGAATTTGTATTTATGAACTAAATTCAGTGTTATGCCAATAGGCAAGATATCTGATTTGGCACTGTGATCTTGTTTTTTCTTAAGGAAACTTTAAAGTATGTATCTATGCTTATAATTCCTTACCTTCCTGATATTCTTTGGCTCAGGAGTGTTTTGTTATCATTTTATTCTGATTTTCTTGTTTTCTTATTTTAACAGCAGTTGCCTCTAAAGCTTTAACAATGAGTTTTTGTAAGCCTACCCCTCAGGGCGGGAAGGTTACTTTGCACATACGTGCACACTAGGGGAGGGAGGGGGAAACAATCCGTTCCTATAATGTTATGAGTTAATTTTTTTCAGTCACTCTGGAGACAAGACTGATGGTTCTTGCTCCCTGACACACTGAAATAACTGCTTCACTGGGGTAGGTATAATAAACTGAATGCTGCTTTCCTCTTCAGTTTCTTGCAGTTTCTTATTGTTCACTCCTGAAAACCTTGGTGCCCCTTCCAGTTCCTTCTTTCATCTATGTAACTACGCAGCAGCCCTTTTAACACTCTTGAAAACAAAGTGTGGACAGTATTTTCTTATTTATTCATTCTTTTTGTATTAATATGTTCAAAGCATTCCGATTCCCTAGTCTCACACCATCTTCAGTAGGTACATGGGAGACAGTAAGGTTCAGCTCTTGCAGCACTTTTTTCCAATTCCTCCTTAAAAAGTTGCTTCTGCATGTAAAATCACAATAAATCGAACAAACATGTTAGAATTTGAAGTTCCTAGCTGCTTTCAGGGACTTATTTTATAGCTTTCCTTATGGGTCACACTTGCCTAAAAAGATTGTGAGCAATTGTTACCAAAAAATGATAATTACAGTGCCTGTTGCATTCTCTTTGTGATAAAACTTATCATTGAATCATAGAATTGCCAGGGCTGGAAAAGGCCTCTAAGATCATCCAGTCCAACCGTCCATCTATCTAGTACAACTTCTAAACATTTCTTGAACACCTCCTGGGATGGTGAGTCCACCACGTCCCTGAATAGACTGCCTGACCACTGTTCTGAAGAATAAATTTTTCCTAATCTCTAACCTGAACCTCCCATGGTGCAACCTGAGGCCATTTTCTCTAGTCCTATCACTAGGTATGATGGAGAAGAGGCTGTCACCCACCTCGCTGCAACCTCCTTTCAGGTAGCTGTGGAGAGCTAAAAGGTCTCTCTGAGCCTTCTCCAGACTAAACAACCCCAGTTCTCTCAGCCACTCCTCATAACACCTGTGCTCCAGACCTTTTGCCAGCTTTGTTGCCCTTCTCTGGACACGCTTTAGGGCCTCGATGTCTTTCTTGTAGGGACAGGCCCAAAACTGAACACAGTACCTGAGGTGCAGCTTCACCAGAGCAGAGTACAGGGGGGATGATCACTTCCCTGTTCCTGCTGGAAGCACTATTTCTGATACCAGAACTTGAGCAGTTGCCATCACTGATGGAACAAAATTGGATGGTTGCTGGACGATTATCCAGTTTGTAAAGCCTTGGAACTGAGAAGTGATAAACTGTAGTATGACCCCATGGCAGGTGTACAACTGGTCTATTTCAGCTCAGTCATTTCTTGGTCTCCAGAATGAAGATGTGCTTTATAGCAGAAAAAAAAAAAAATCTTTCAGTGACACTTATTAGGTATGTTTCCAAAGGTTGAATATTCTCTACTCCTAAAAAACAGGAGTATATTTATTAAGTACTCTAACAAAGTGTTTTAAGGAGCAAGGTCAATAAATGCTATGAAAAACAGCTAGTAAGTTGCGGTGTAGTTCTCAGAGCCTTTCTGGCCAAAATGCAAGTTGAAAGGTGCACTGATCTCAGTGTTGACAAAACACAGCCATAAGGACTTCCGAATCTCTGCTGACAACCTAAAAAGTCTCACTTGCAATGTACACATAGGTGGAGGCTGTTAATTAGTAATGTCCACACCCAAATTTTCTTTTCAAGGTAACTGGTAAGTAGGAATTAAGCCCACCTGTTAGACGCAGCCAAAAGAAATGCAATACTGGCACCAAAGGAGTTAAACCATTAAACATTCACTTTTTCTTTTTATTAAGAAAGCATGCACAAAAATAAACTTGTGAGACCACGCCCCTCTCTCCTTGACCCTTGACACAAAGCACTGTGGGCAATGCCACTGTGGAAGGGCCTGCAAGAACTTCCATGGCACGTTTGCATCCCTTCACTCCCTGCAGCTAGTACCAGTGTGGAGCTCCACATAGCCAACCCGATGCCTTCCCACGCATTGACAATGCACATGTATTTCAGAGGCAGAGGAACGAGGTTAATTTGCACACTGACCGGCGTGTATTTACATATGCAAACAAGGAGCAAATCAATATGCAGATGAGATAAATATGCAAATTGTGGGGACTTTCATATGCTGAAGGAGCTATCTTTCTTTTTTTCTTCCAGTGGTTTCAGATTTCCGCAGGGCTGGCTCTGTGTTATGCTCTGCAAAGCACTAACTGGCACCAACCATTGGCTGTACCTGGTGCCACATTCCACAGAAACCCAATCAGACACGCTTCCAAGTTGTATCATTACCATCCTGAGGCAGCACAGGTAATGGCTAATTCCATGCTGAAGTTGGCTATGGGATTCCCCATTTCTCTTGGAGATGCCCACTGATGAACTCCCCCTCAATACACACATTTAAAAAAAAAAAAAAAAAAAAAAAAGAACATCCCACCGCCCCCCCTCCCCAATACAATGAGACTGTCCACTTCCCTGACAGAGATCCAATTGATTTATCCCTACAACAAATTTAAGAAGCAATTTTAATTCCCCATCTTCCTTCAGTCAGAGCAGACATTTTTACCTCCTCTTCCCCAGATATGTCAAAGCCACCATGACATTTTATTTCTGTCTTGTTCCTTTCCCTGATAAACAGGGAATAAGGGTTGGGGTAGGCTTTACAAAATACTAAAATGAAACAAGAAGTCTGACAGAACAGAGCCATATCAGGAAAAAAAAAAAAAAAAGGTAACTCAGGACACAGTTTAGGGGAGGAGGAATTTCAATACTAGCTCCTGCATCTGTTTTGCTTTCCTCATTTGCTGACAGAAACCATTAACTGGGATTTACATTCTATGCCATCATCTTCCTCAGCTGAACTGCAAGGAGTCTGACCTACTCGTCCCCCTTCTTCTATACAATACTCTTTGGCTGTTCAGCTCTACTTCATCCCCTCTTCTAATGCGTATCTTACAAAAATCACTTCTAAGAGGCTCTTTCTTACTCAACCAGAGGGTTTGAACTTCTTGACCAGAAGTCTCCTGATTGACCTCCATTCTGAGCAGCAGCTTCCTCTTTCCACCATTAACCCAATCACAAAGTGGGGACCACTGACTGAGAATTTACACCAAGGCAGCAAGGTTCCCGTTGCCACAGACAGTCTCCAAAAAGGTACAAGGGTCAGAGGGCTAAGTAACAATTGAGCAAATACTGACGGTGTGAGAAAACTTTTAAGTTTGCATATGCAAGTAAGAGCCTCACTGCATACTTTGAAGAAAGGCTTGAAGGGGCAGGGGTGAAATTAAAAGCTCTGGGAAACAGAAATTTCCTGGATCACAACACCCTCGACTGTTTCTTTTACCTGATGAGTATGTAGGCTTCACTTCCTTGGAGACTGCAAAACACAGAGCAGTCAGGATCCTCTCAAAATCACTCTTCGTCCTCACCAAGAGGCACTGCATTCTGAAACCCAATCTTTCTGCTGAAACATCATTTTTCTACATTCCCCTCTCTCCAAACTCATGTTTTCCCTCCCAGTTCAGCTTAGCTCTAACTTAAGAGATTATCCTATTTGCACTTGAGATCTCTATTTCTTTTCCTGCTTTTCCTGCTGGTGTGGAACTGAGCTGAAATCACCTCTCCACAGTGTCCCTTTAGCCTCCTGACCTTTACAACATTTAAGAAATAACATGACTACAGACTCCCGGGGTCTACTAGACTCTCACTCAGTATCCAATACAACAGATTTACTGTCCGCTTTGAAGGGAAAGAGGGATTGCTAAATGCAAAATGACAGAGGCAGAGAAAGATGCACACAAGGATTCAGCCTTCTGAAGTCTTTTTGTGGCAGCAAGGACCTATCTTTCTGCCCTATACCAGGGCACCACACAACAAGGTTTGATCTGATGCATCCGAGGCCACCAGAGGAGGGGAAGGGCTGTGCTCAATTATTGATAATAATAATAACAACAACAACAACAATAATAATAAACAAAAGAAAAAAGATAAAACAGGACGCAATGAAAGATTATCTTCGGCAGCATCTTGCGGTGGCTTCTCTGGCGGAGATAGAGAATATATATCTATATACAGGCAAGATAGGAAGGCTGGAGACGGTGGTGTGGCACCATTCACCCCATGTCCCCCTCCCCTCCCACGTCCTTCACAAAGGACGGGCTCTTAAGTCTGTAACTCGCTAGGTGATCAAGTCCCAGTCGAAATCATCAGGGATTTCCTCATTGGTGCCTGGAGGAGGCCCTGAAGGCCGAGGGACCAGATGATGAGCTGAGTAAAAAAACAGTTAAAAAAAAAAAAAAAAAAAAAAAAAAAGAACAGTTAGAAGAAAAAAAATGTCATACTTTTTCACAGTGGGCATTTGGTCAAAAGAAAGCATTAAGGGCACTGTGGACTTCTCTGTTTCAACAGTATATGCAATAACACTACTGGCATGAATTTCTCCCTGTCTGTTGGTAGTGTGCTGTAAAATTCTCCAGAGCAGCTTCTACCAAGGTTAAAGCCTCAGCTTCTTTAACTTTTCTCAGATGATTGCTGGTAAAATACAAAGGAACTTCAGCAACAGAAGCTTCTAATGTAATTTTGCCTTTGTCCAACACAGGGATGGTGACACAGGGCTAGAAGACCATTTATGTGAAGTGAAAGACATCATGTCACTGAAATTCTAAAATCTATTAGAGCTACGGCACAGCCCTAAAGAAGAGTCTAACTCTAAAGAAGAGTCCTTAGCAGTCCAAGCACTTTCTCTACCCCTGAGCACTTCATTGGATTAGTGAGTGTTTTGGGAGAAATGCAGAGGGCTTGAGAACCAGTTCTTAAATGTTCAGGGATATAATATGCCTTACTATCACTTCTTACCTGGGCGATTATATCCTGGAGAGTCCTGGGTAGAAATCTGATACATCGGAGATGGACCGGAGAAGAGATGGGGAGGCTGGGGCTGACCATAGGAGTTCACTGTGAAATGAAATGAAACAAACTGTAAATGGTCTGGTCAGCTGTCCTAGCCCTGATTGGGTTGCATCTCCAGCCACAGAGCAACTCACTCAAAAATGCAGTATACTGAGATGTTCAGTTATTTGGTCAAAAACAAAAGCTACAGCTTGGTCTACTCCTTGGCAGGAGTTTCACTTACTATTTTAAAATAAACTTTTAATCTAGAAATGCCAGAAAATGGTTATTTATTTTTCACTGTTTACTACAAAGTCATTTAGTAAAAACAGTGATGACACACATCATCACAGTTGCACCAAGATCATCTCTTCACTCTCCTTGGAGCATATTCTTCTATTCCTTGCCCAGACAGTCTTTCTCTACAGGCACAAAACCTTTCTCCTTTACCGCTACTGCCACCTAGAACAGCGAGCTTTCTACCTTGCCATTCTTTACTGTTAATTTTGTACCAAAACCCGTTCCTTCCCTTTTCCTTTTTCAGGTTGACCATTTAAATGCAATTCTTCCTGAAGAAGATTCTTTTTGGTAGTATGCGTCACATAATGGCACACATAGGCCACAGACACAGAACATCCTAATAATTTTTTACAGATAGAGGAGACTGATTTTATGGGATCATTGAATATCCTGAGTTGGAAGGGACCACAAGGATCACTGAGACTAACTCCTGGCTCCACACAGAACCACCCAAAAATCAGACCATATGACTGGAAGCACCATCTGCTTGAACTCCAGCAAGCTCAGTGCCATGACCACTTCCCTGGGGATCCTGTTCCAGTATATGATCACCTTCTTAGTTAAGAGGTTTTTCTTGACAACAAAACTGACTCTGCCCTGTCACAGCTTCAGGCTGGTTCCTTAGGTCCTATCGCTGGTCAACAGAGAGAAGAGATCAGCACCAGTCCCTCCACTCCATCTCATGAGGAAGCATGGCCATGATGACATCTCGCCTCAGCCTGGTCTTCTCTAGGCTGAACAAACCAAGGAACTGAATACAGTTTCTGATAGAGCAGCTTGGTGCTACACTAACTACAATGTAACAAGAAGTTCATGGTATGTAGAGAATTGGTCCCTCATTAATGTGGCATTTTAGTTTCCCTCTGAATTACCTTGATTCATGGATTGCTCCTGTTTGCCACTGTTCAGGGCACAAGAATCAGAGATTCGAGGGGGCTGCTGAGGGCCGATCAGATGAGGGAGCTGACCAGTCTGGGTAAGGAAGTGATTAAGAGAGTCACAAAGATTGGCAATATGGTGTTGATCCAGTGTCCAGTTCTTCCGCTCGGCCTGGCGCAGACTCTCCATCAACTCTGCAAAGGATAAGAACAATGTCAAAGATAGCAACTAAACTGCAGTCACTCCTGTTAAATTTTTTGTCTTCTGCTCCTAAGTCTCACTTTCTCCCCACAAATTCAACTTCATTATTTATGATCAGACACCGAAATAATGGCGAGCTTCTTTTTTAAGGTACTGTCTCACTGACTTGGGTAAAAAAAGGAGAAGCAGGGGGGAAAAATTCTCATTCACCTTCTGACATACTTTTATGAATTAATTCCTCTTGCCCCAAATCCCTACAGTGTTCAAGTGCTTTAGGGTCTTTAACAGGATCCATGAAGTAGGTTGCATGGAACAGCTGAGTCAATGAGAAAAATGAGACTTGCCAAAGTTTAGTTGAAAAAAAAAAAAAAAAAAAAAAAAAAAAAAAAAAAAAAAAAAAGAGCTGCACTCCCAAATTCTAGATACTACAGTCCCCAGTCACTGAGTCACTAGACCTCAGCACTAGGCCAATACTAACCTGAGAATTGGGAGTGCTCAATGCTAGACCAGTTCAGCCGGTTTACCATCTTGAAGCTCTCCTTCAGGGAATCAATGCTGGAGCACCAATCAGGGGGAAATGCTGTAATGAAATGGAAAAAATGTTATTCCAACAGAACACCCTTTTCCTCCATCCCTTAATATAAGATAACTGGCCACTTCAAAGATATTAATTCTGTAGTAGATAGAAATCTTTTTGCCCTTGGAATATCAAGGGTAGTGCCTCCCTTTTCATTTAGCTCCTGAACTTTTCCTGCATCCCTGAACAGAATCTGCAACTAAGTATGACTGTATCCCTAATAAGAAGGCAATTTCCTTCTCAGATTTCAACCATAGCTGGCTATCATCCTTTTCTGCTCACTATATAGGCAATTCTTAGGGGAATCTCACTTGTGGAATTTCTGTCTGAGGATCCCCACTGCTCCATTTCTCCCAGCTGTTCTTTCCATCAGCCCTGACTCACCAAAGCCAGCATTGTTGACTGAAGCCTGTGACTGCTGCTGCTGCTGGTGCTGATGAGGCTGCTGCTGTGGGTGGGAGTGTGGGTGATGCTGATGCTGGTGGTAGCCTCCATGCTGCATTTGGGGAGGGTGCATGGACATCACTGGTGGAGGGCCATAACTTTCACCACCCTGCTGCTTTCCCCCTTGGGATGGGCAACCCTCTGGAGTTGGAGTGTGGAGGGGTGGAGCAGCACCCACTGCTGAGGGGCCCTGCTGTTGCTGCTGGTACATGTAGTAGTTGTGGTTGGAGGGCTGCATGTCACCAAGGAGAGAAGAGAAACCTGTAGGATGAAAGAGAGAGGAGGAAACTTTAAGAGCTGCCTGGATCAGACCTCTACTTAAATTAACCATCCCTAATGTCACACTGAGGATGAGCAGTGTTATGTTATTTAAGAAGCTTTTGAAGTGCCCTCTAGAGGCTGTCAATAATTAGCACCTGCACAGTTAAGCTCTTAATGTGTTCCAGGTTCTATCAACAACAAAGGGCTCTACAAAGTCCCAGCAGAATTTAAATCCTTAGTGTTAATTTAAGTGTTTAAATACTTCTATGCCTCCATGGACTTCATCTATATCTAGCAAGTAATGCATGCTTTCTGGAAATTTCATGCACATGTTATTTTCCTGGAAATGACCACTAAGCAAACCACTTAAGCAACAAAACATTTAGAATATGGAGGTTGATAAATCTGATTTGTTGTTTCCAAAAGCTCCCTTCATAGTCTATCTTACAAGCAGTTTCATCCGAAACCTTCACAATTTTTCTCACACAGATCATTAGTGGCCATGCTTCCTACTGCTTCTATACACAGAGCACATATCAGGGCTCCCTTATTACTTTAATTCTTCCTGACTTTTTAGGTGTTATTATTTCTATTCTCTTCCATTACAGGTATCCCCTACATGCAAGAACATCATATGTTCTCCATTCTTCCCCATATCAGGAGCTCTGCATATCTCTTACATCTGCTTCCCTGGTTTATTTTCTCCTTATGTTAAGGAAATTCTAAGAAAAATAGCAGTGAAAGGCATTACTTGCCAGTAAACTCAGCTAACCATTCATCATCTGACCCTCTGTAAAAGCAAGCCTAAGTTTTTCAATAGAGCCAAAATCAACCTTCAGACCTACTAACTGCAGTGGAGCAAAAGGGTCAATATTATTCTGACTCCAATATCCAGACTCAAAGTTACCAACACAATTTCATCAAAAACTGCAAGTTTTCCTAGACGTTCTTACAGCTGCAGAAAAGCAGATCGTTGCTTAATTTTTAGAGACAGAGGCACAGAGTGTGTCAAGGTTCTTCTCTGCATTTGAGTAACCTTCTTATTCTACAGCACCTCACACAACAGATTCCTACTGGTAATATCAAGCGCCATTTGATGAAAGCTCGTTATTATTTCACTGAAGTTACAAAATCAGGAGGCTTCTCCTAGAGTAACAAACTGCCTGCACTATATCCTGGCTGAGAGCAAAGGTGAAAGTCTCATCTAATCACATATTCCTTCCTACACCAGACTAGTATTTAGAAGAATATTTAAAGATGAAGACAAAAATTGGAGACTCTCCAGAAGTGCTTTCTGTGGAAACACAGATCTCATCCCTACAGCAGTTATGCCTTAGCTGCTTCCTCAGTAACAGAAATGTCAGCTACGAATGAAGTTATAGGCTCCCTCTCCTCCTCAAAGTTCAGTTCTCCAAGACTCTGTACAATTCTGCTTTTAAAGGATCTTCGCAATGATGACTTCTCATTTTCCTTTTGGGGAAATTCCACTGCCTACATGAAAAAATCCTCCTCCTCTTACAGTTTCTAGCCCGACAGATTGTCAATACTTCTCAGACAAGCTATTCTTCAAGGTCTTCATTTTTCTATGCTTCTACCATTTAAATATTTGCTTTTGTATTAGGATACGGTATTTTTAAATCATTATTTTTTTCATTCTGAGCAAATTAGTGAGGCGCAATAAAGAAAGGACATGCAGATTTCTTATTTGCCTCTGGCAGAACCAATTACAGCACACCAAAAAGCCTCTGCTCCCAAAAGATGAAAGATCCAAGACATACCAAGGATAGCTGAGTGGACAAGACTGTGTAAACAGGTATCTGCCCATTTCACATGGTCCTTATGATTACTCACCGTGCTGAGAGGAAGATGATTTCTCCAGCATGGATTTGTAGAGATTTCGGAAGGACCAGCTAAGATCCTGAAAGTTGATCTCAGAGTAGGAGAACTTGAAGTCGTGGTTGGCACTGTACAGTGGGGGGGGTACATCGGCCCCTTCACGGCCCTGTCCCCCTGCTACAGTAGAAGCAACATCCACAGGCCCTGCAGACTGCTAAAAGGACCACAGATGACAGAAATTAGGCCTTTATTTTATACTAGATTTTTAAACTTCTGACAGGGCCCAGAAACTACATACAGGTAGAACATACACTGCTAACTCATATCACTTTGCTCATCTTGCAGTAAGCAGGTCTTCCGCAAAAGCTATTTCCCTTGAGGACAGTTAACCTTCACCCTCACCCTGCAGCTTATTGGCTCCAGCGTATTCTTCAGCTCTCTAATACCATTATACCTTTACCCTTATCCCTATTCAGCCCTTTCTTAAATATCACTTCCTCCGCTATCTTCTGTCTAATCAATTTTAACTTCTTCCCTTTTTAATTTTTTCCCCTCTGCCTCACCATTTTTCACTATTCCCTCCTTTCTCACCACTCCACTTTTCCATTCAAGCACCCCTCGCTCTTTCCTTCTCCTTCTTTCACACTTCTTAAGGTTTCTGTTCTCCGCTGCTCACCTGACTGTAGTTGGCAATGGGGGCAGTGCTCTGGAGTGACAGCTGAGGGGTAGCCTCAGGTGGCAAAGAGGCTTCTGTGCTGACTGGAACAGCCCCTCGGGGGCTCTTACTTGCCTCTTGCTCTGGGGAGTCTTGTGGTATCTGTGGATGGGGAAGAGAGTAAGAACGCAAAAGAAATAACAGATGGAGAAGTGAAACTGCAGATCAGAAGCCAGTTCCCCTACTGTAGTTCATGGCTTAGAAAACAGGAGGACTAGGCCTTAGTCACTGAAGAGACAAGACAATGAACTACAAATATAGTTAATTTTGCTACTGAAAAGCAGTAACAATGGCCAATGAGCACAACATACACATTAATCCTCCTCGTCTATATATGCTGCTCCCCCTAGGAGTGCTGGAAGAACTCCTTTGAACAAGAATGGAACTCTCACTACTGCTCCATGCTGTCAGGAAACAGTAACACTCACATCATCATCAGGAGGATGCCGCCTCTTGCGAGATATATCTGGACACGTATCTATTGTCCAATAAGAGCCCTGGAAAAAAGACCCACTGGTGAATGAATGACTGTGTTATTAAATCAAAGAGCGAGCTTTCTATGGGTTACTGAGTCAAATAATGCAGCACCAACTAAATAACAGAACCACACCGAATATCAGACAACCAAGAATTGGAAGAGATTGCATTGTGTTGTGTTGAACAATGATGCTATCCACTTCTATCACTCCAAGAGCATAAGATGTCTTGATCCACGGTGGACCAACACTTTGGGGCCTGTAAGTTCCCCTCCAGTGTCTCCTCACAGCATCTTATTTTTATTGGACCAACTCAGTGTTCAGACTAGGCAAAAAGAACTACAAGGAACCCCCTTTTCCATACTTGTGAGACTCCACTTTGAGTACTGTGCCCACTTGGGTCTTTCCTGTGCAAGAAAGACATTAGCATATAAGATTGGAACCAAAGGAGGTCCACCATGATGATAGGAGACATCACATGATGTACACATGATGTAAACACATTTCACACAGAGAGATTTGTTTCAGTCAGAGAAGGGAAAGCTAAGGGAATCTAGCCGCTGTATTTACTACTGCTTCCCTTTCTGCCCACATTTCAGGTTTCAAATTCCACCAATCAGTTAGAAAGGGCAATTCTTGCTCATTCCATGCAGTTTAAAATGGTTTGGCCAGGAGCATCCAGATTTCTTACCTTCCCCGGATCATCCCTTGGTCGAGGCACTTTCCGAAAGCACTTATTCAGAGAGAGATTATGACGAATTGAGTTCTGAAAAGAGATTGAAAGACAAAGGTAAATGCCATAACAAAAATGTACAGCTTTCTGTGTATGTTCAGGAATGGGTAAAGAAAACAGAAGGATGGTGCATACTCAAATGCACTATATTTACCCACAGTAGAGCAGAACAGAAGCTGAGGAAATCAGAGGAATTTATAGAATTTAAGAGGCTGATAACATGCAGCCAAACCATCTACACATATATAGTAGGTACTACAAAAACACTATCAGTGTAATGCAGAAGTTGGTAGTGATGTGGGTTTTGTAGGTAGTGATTTTTGTCTTGCTGGGCTTTTTTCCCCAGGGTCCTACTTACAGGGCTGCCACACACATACAACAAAAATCTCAAAGAAAATGGGACTTCCATCTCAGTTCATTTCTTCTCTGGACATCTTATTTTCACATTTTCATTTTGCTCAGTGAGCAAAAATAAGAAAATAAAGTCCATTTATTAGATAGTAAGAGCACTTTAGATATTTAAGTCCTTACCTTCCAACCAATACCAGCATTTTTGTAGTAGGGAAAGTTGTCACAGATCCAACGGTAAATCTCACTAAGTGTCATCTTCTTGGCAGGGGATGAGTTGATTGCATACGTGATCAGAGTGGCATAGCTGTAACGTGGCTTGCCATCTTGATGCACTGCAGCCTCATCCTTACTGAGCGTAGCATTGGGATCTGTCGGTGAGCCTGGAGGACACTTTCGGGCAGTCCCTGGAGGTCCTGCTTGTGATGAACCCCCTAATTTTTCAATAGTAGCTCTTAAAGTAAGCTGTGGGAGCCAGTCTATGGAAGTGAGGCTGCTTTCCAGGTCAGAGGCCATGATACTGGAAGCAGCTATATCTGTGAGGAGACAGAAGGAGAAAAGGATCTCCAGAGACACAATCAAGATGAACCATAAGAACAGAAATATACATTTGCATTCCTCTTCTACTTCTTCCCATATTAAAAAACACCTGAGTGAAGACCATCCTACTTGATATGCCTTATTAACAGCAAAATATAATCATCGAAAAAGGCCTATCTCTGCATCCTCTGGAGGGCCACTCTTGCAAATAACAGCTAGGAAAGTGCTGATGATAACTGCTAGTACAGTCTTATCCAAAGCATCTCAACTGTTCTCAGGTGAATAACCAAGATTTATTTAAAGGAAGTAGACTATCTTCTGCAGCTGTATCGCATTCCCTCCTTTACTATCTAAGCAATATAACCTTGAGACCTTCAGCAAGATTACATTACAATCCAGCAGTTTTTTTGCATCAGGTAAGAGGAGAATCAAAGCTAAAAGGGAATACTCCTTCACACCATAACCAAACAATGGATTTAATGATCTAATTAAGGTCTTCTGGAGAACCCAGGACTGTGACCATCTTAATTTGGGAGAAATTAATTTCTCTCTAAGGCCAAAACTGTTATTTTTGGTGGTGGTTTTTTTGTTTTGTTTTGTTTTTCATCAGGTGACATTGTAATTAATACTATTCCTTGGAGCCAGGTTTATGTATCTCATTTAAAACACCAAGATTATGCAAAATACTATATACAGATAATTACAACTACCATGTTGAGGTAGATGCAGACCATATTAAGCTTGTAATAGTTAAACTTTTGCCTACTATAACCAATCCGACCTAAATATATATATCATTATTACTAAGTCTTGCTTAATTCACAACAAGAAACTGTTTTCCCCAAATCTGAGACACAAGAAAAACAGCCTTATCCAAGGCTCACACAAAGGACAGAAATAGACTCATGATCTTTCCTCTCATAAATATTACATATTTCTCTCATAAAGTAAGATACATCTGTCCAACATGACTAGCACTTGTACCCAGATATTCTATTTAATTATTTCATAAGAGAAAATATTTAATAGTACAAACATGTATACCTTTGCACACTCAGTACACAAGCTTATATGCTGTCTTTTGTACTAGTCTTGGTATCATAAATATCATTATTCTTATTTTCAATTGGTTGCATCATTATGCAAGGAGGAATCTCTTTAAGTTTGGACCAAGCTAGTTTCCACAGCCAAAAACTGCACTGTTCTGCACTTAATCTTTTCATAAATAGAAGAACAAAGTCTTAAAAGGCTGCAAGTTTTACATCTGTCACTTTGGAAATTAATCATTTTAGAAAATTAGACAATACTATACCATTGCATGCTAGTACATACAAAAGTTAAACTCCTAAACACATGCATACACTTACGTACTTTGTCATGTAACAAGTTACCCACACACATACATCTAGGAGAGAAAAGACTAATGTATCCCACTTATGAAAGATTCTTTACACAACACCTCCCATCCAAGCCCATCACTCATCTGAGCAAATCAGATGAGACAGGGAGACACCCATCTGTGCAAGTAACAAATAGACATCAGTTCTAAAAATAGGTATTTGTCAATAACACAGTGTGGATGGACCCAGCATTTTGACACAGGAGCTCCTCATTCTTCCTGTACAACCATATGCATCATACAGAATTATAGAATGGCTGAGGTTAGCAGGGCTCTGAGTCCATCTGCTCCAAACCTACAGCAGATTCCCAAAATCATGCCCAGGAAACTTCTGAAGATCTCCAAGAAGGAGACCTCTCATCCTCTCCGGGCAACCTGTGCCAATGCTCCATTATCCCCACAGCACAGAATTGCTTCCTGATGTTCAGAGGTATTCTAGTTTGTGTCCACTGCCTCTTGTTCTGGCACTAGCCTTCACTGACAAAAGCCGGTCTCTATCACCTTTGAACTCTCCTTTCAGGCATTTAGAGACCCCCCAAACCTTCTCTTCTCCAAGCTGAACAGTCCCAGCTCTCTCAGCCTCTCCTCATAAAAGAGGCACCCTTCATCATCTTGATGGCTCTTTGTTAGACGCTCTATACTATGCCCATGTCCCTCTTATACTGGGGATCCCAGAGCTGGATCAGCACTGGGTGCAGCCTCGTAAGTGCTGAGAAGAGAAGAATCACAGAATTGCAGGGGCTGGAAGGGACCTGTAGAGAACATTGAGTCCACCCCCCGCCAAAACAGACCCCCTACAGCAGGCTGCATAGGTAGGCATCTAAGCAGGTCTTGAATTTCTACAGAGGAGGGGAATCCACAACCTCCCTGGGCAGCCTGTTCCAGTGCTCTGTCACTCTGACTGTGAAGAAGTTCCTTCGCATATTGGTGCGGAACTTGCTATGCTCCAGTTTACGGCCATTTCCCCAGTTCGCTCAGCCTTTCCTCACAGGGGAGATGTCAGGGGAGGGCCTGTAATCATCTTTGTGGCCTCTGCTGGACTCTCTCCAGGAGACCCCTGTCTTTTTTGTATAGGGGAGCCCAGAACTGGACACAATAATCCAAGTGAGGCCTGACCAGGGCAGGATAGAGGAGGAGGATCACCTCCCTTGACCTGCTGGCTACACTCCTTTTAATGCAGCCCAAGATCCCATTGGCTTTCTTGGCCACCAGGGCACACTGCTGGCTCATCACCAGCCTGTCATCCACCGGGATCCCCCAGGTCCTTCTCCGCAGAGCTCCACTAAAGCAGGTTGTGCCCCAGTCTGCACTGATACCCCTGATCGTTTCTTCCCAGTCGCAGGACTCTACACTTGCTTTTGTTAAACCTCATCTGGTTTCTTGCTGCCGAACTCACCAGTCTGTCCAGGCCTTGCTGAACAGGAGCACAGCCTTCAGGCTTGCCAGCCACTCCTCCCAGCTTTGTGTAATTGGTGTACTTGCTGAGGTGGACACTATCCCCTCATCAAGTAATCGATGAAGATATTGAACAAGACTGGACCCAGCACTGACCCCTGGGGAACACCTCTAGTCCCAGATCAAGGAAGGTTCACCTCTCATCACTTGCTGGCAATACTTTGCCTAATATAGCCAAGAATTCCTTTAGCTTTCTTAGCAGGAAGGGCAACTTGGTGTCCATCAGGATTCCCAGGTCCTTTTCTGCACAACTACTTTCCAGATGAGTACTTCCAGCATATCCTGGTGATCAGGATTGTTTTACTCCCAACAAATTCATGGGCACTAAACTTTTCATTTTCATGCATGTGCACATCACACTCTTCAGAGATTAAAAATCCATCACATGACATCAACAAAATCCATCCCCCAGCTACCAAAAGTCGTACCAATGCATTGGGCTCAGAAAACAAATCCTAACTGCACAGCTAATGTTTTAATTCACACTCCAATGCATGCAGAGACTGAAAAGTTAAACTGCAACACTACAGTATCTGTAACGGGTGGAAAAAATTTTTCTTTCCGTGAAGGAAAGGAAAAACCCAACTGCTATTAACCTATCTATATACTCATCTGCCACAGTACCACAGTCAATAGCAATGACTACTAACTCTGCACCAAACTAGAAAATCAGGGCTGCAAAAGGATTTCTGTTATGTGCCTGGGAAGATCACTGGAGCAGATCTAATGAGCACTACTAAAGCATATGTGAGATGAGGGATGATCCAAGATGGACTGCACAGCTTCACAAAAGGTAGATTGAGTCTGATCAGTCTGGTGGTCTTTCATGGTGGAGTGACAGCACCAGTACGCAAAGGAAGGGCAACTCACGTTATCTATCAGGACCTGTGCAAGGCCTCTGACACCGTCCCACACCACATCTTTATCTCTAAATAGGAGAGAGATGTATTTAAAGGCAGGACTATTAAGTGGATAAAGAACTGGTTGGAATATCACAGCGAGAGCGCTGTAGTCAACAGATTTATGTCCAGGTGGAAGCTGGTCATAAGTGGTATCCCCCAGGACTAAGTCTTGGGACCAGTGCTCTTCAGCATCTTTTTCGATTACCTACACAGTGGGGTGGAGTGTACCCTCAGTACGTTTGCTGATGATACTAAGTGGTGTAGTTGATCCAATAGAAGGATGCTATTCAGAAGGACCTGAACAGACTTGAAAAGGGAATATATGAGAAACAAATGACACTCACCACAGGCAAGTGCAAGGTGTTACACTTGGGTCATGACAATCACAAATATGTACACAGACTGCAGAACTCACTGAAAGCAGCCCTATGGAAAAGGACTTGAGGGTCCTGGTGGGCAAAAAGCTGGACATGAACCAGCAGCATGCACTTGCAGCTTGGAAGGCCAACTGTATCTATCTGGGTTGCACCAAAAGTAGGGTGGCCAGCAGGGCAAGGGAGATTGTTTCCCTCTAATTTGCCCTCTTTGAGGCCCAGGGTCATCAGCACAAGAAGGATAGGGAGCTGTGGAGGAGGTCCAGAGGAGGGTGATAGATATGAGAGAGCTGAAGCACCTCTTCCATGAAAAAAGGTTAGAGTTGGGCTAGCTTAGCTAGGAGAAAGCTCCAGATAGATCTTACTATGGCCTTCCAGTACTTAAATGGGATGATAAGCAGGAAGACCTATTTTTCATATGGTTTGCTAATTAGAGAACAAATAGGAATGGCTTTAAACTAAAAGAGGGAAGTTTTAGGTTAGATGTTAGGAAGAAGTATTTACTCAGAGGGTAGTAAAGATCTGGAACGGACAGCTCAGCAAAGTTGCAGATACTCTTGTTCCTGGACACATTCAAGGCCAGATTGGATGGAGCCCTGGACAGCCTGATCCAGTGGATGACAATCCTGACTGCGGCAATGGAGAGCCGGCAGTGGAATTGGGTGGTCTTTCAGGTCCCTTCCAACACAAGACATTCTGTGATTCTGTGTCTCTGACAGACGCTGGCAGACTCAGTGCTATGATCACTTTGCTGGGGAGCCTGTTCCAGTATCTGACCACCTCCTCTCGGTGAGGAGCCTTTTCTTAATATCCAATCTGAACCTCTCCTGGATAAAGATCACCTCAACCAAAAAGTGTTGTCTCAAGTATTAATAAATAAATAAATGCCGTGTAATTACTCCTTCCCAAATTATACAAGGGTAGAGCAACAACGTATTTTCATACAGATTCTGGGGGCATGGAAAAATATTGCTGATCTATAAATCTAACTGAAACACGGCTAAACTTGCATGGTAATTTTACTTGTACAGTCTTCACCAAAAAGTGCTATTCTGATGAACTTTGGACAAACCAAAACAAACTAATATCATCTGAATGCTAAATTTTTAAGCATGCCTCATAAGATTAAATTTCCACAGCGGAATCATAGAACAAATCATCCTATCACATGCATATTAAACTATTACGAAATATCAGTTGAAGCTATTTTACTACTGATTCATATTGCTAGCACAAGTTTACCAGTCAACCTCCCCAACATTTGTGTTATTTTAAAGACAAGCACAGATATTAAAAAGATGAAGTTATAAAAGTCTACAACAGATTGAAATACCAATTTGAA